ACAATCCTGCCAATTTCACGTTGGAGACCACTCCACGGTATACTGAATTAATATAACTAATTTGGAATATGTAGCAATGTCGATTTACCTAGAACGACATAACATAAACTTTGGATGCCACATTCTTAACCTATAAATATATACAGTACATAATTAGTGAATAGTAGACACACAAATAAGCTTTGTTACAATTTTAATTTATCGATATAGATAAATTTAGTTAGTGTTTCTATTATTGGAATCTCTTTAATAGACTTTAAAGGCTGTTTAATATTTAGAAGACATGGAATATCTGAGGGTAAGATATCGTAAAGGGAATGAGAAGTATTTGTGCAATTGAAAAAAATGTGATCCGGTGACACTTCATCCAGTCCGCACTCGCAGAGAGTCAGTGTTTTTTGACATTATTGCAAAGTTTGCCGATCATTAATGACTATATTCGTTAGCTATGTCATAAAAACACAACATCGTTACAGATTTGAACCTATAAGTATACATATACGAGGGTCAAACTGAAAGTTCTTAGAACTGGCCACTTATAAACAATATAATAAAAAAATAATTCTAAAATTTGAAAATATAACTCTTTGCCAATATTACTGAGTATATATTTCATTCATTTGTCATTTGTTTTACGATTTGGCGGCAAATTGAAAATTGTCTGTGTCACGTCATCATGAATTTAACACGAGAAAATTTTCGTGCAATGATTTTTTATGACTTTCGATGTCATTTAAGTCAACAAGAAAGTTATGATAGACTACGATTGGCCTTTCACGATGAAGCCCCATCTCGTGCGACTGTTTACAACTGGTTTAATGAGTTTAAACGTGGTCGCACTAATCTCACTGATGATTTACGTGAGGGACGGCCTTCTACGGCGACGACTGAAGATAACATCTGTGTTGTGCGGCGTATGATAGAGACTGACAAAAGAGTGACCTATCAACAGATTCGGACAAGCTTAGGCATCGGTATGAGTCAAGTGCACAAAATCCTCCACGAACATTTAGCGGTCAGGAAGCTTTGCGCCCGGTGGATACCTCATAATTTGACTGAGGCTCAAAAACTCCATCGTGTGGATTGGTGTCGTAAAATGATTGAAAGATTTAACGGAGGTGACTCAAATGCTGTGTTCGACATACTAACAGGTGACGAAAGCTGGATTTACTGTTATGATCCTAAAACCAAAAGACAATCTGCTCAGTGGGTGTTTCCTTTCGAGGAGTTGCCAACTAAAGTGAAGAGAGATCGAAGTGCGGGAAAAAAAATGGTGGCCTCGTTCTTTGGAAGGATAGGTCATTTTGCAACAATTGTGTTAGAGGATCAAAAAACAGTTTCTGCAGAATGGTACACTACCAATTGTTTGCCACTTGTCTTGGAAAAAGTTCGAGAGAAACGACCTCGCAGTAGGATCCTCCTTCACCACGACAACGCCTCGTCGCACACCGCCAAGCGAACGATCGACTATTTGGCGACATCAAACGTTGAATTACTGGGTCACCCGCCGTATAGCCCCGACCTCGCGCCTTGTGATTTTTATTTATTTCCAAAAATTAAAGAAAAACTTAAAGGAAAGCGGTTTATGAATGCTGAAGAAGCGGTGGCTGCGTATCGCGATGCCATTGAAGAGACCCCTAAGGACGAGTGGGCAAAGTGCTTTTCCCAGTGGTTCCATCGCATGCAGCGGGTGTATTGACGTGAATGGACAATATTTTGAAAAGATATAATAAAACTAATAACTGGCTAATGTAATCAGTTTTTGATTTTCTAAGAACTTTCAGTTTGACCCTCGTATTTGAGAGTGCGGGTTGTTATTGTTGTTAGTTTTTAAATATAAGTACTGTATAGAAAGAATTCTTACTTCATAAATACTTACTTCATTTATGTCACGGATTTAATATAAAATACATAAATACATGATCAATAAACTCCTTTATTTAATTCAATTCTACCTACTTTAATTAATTATAATGGTGCCCATACATATTTATGTTTAATATGTTCTAATTTTTAAAATTGGTAAAAACAAACTAAATCATTTACTTAGTTTCATCTTGTTAACTCGAGTTACGTGAATTTTGACTCGAGATAACTCGAGTTGTGTTTTTTCGGAGTTAGCACATAACTAGAGTATATAATTGAGTGGATGGAACTGATGTCATAGGCTATAATTAGAAATTGGTCACTGTTGGAATACCCTAAGGCGCTTAACCAGTGTTGCCGCTGCTCACATATTGATTTGCCGTATATGAGAGAGAAAATTTGCCGTATTTCAACTGAAATTGCGTAATATTTTTAATTTTTAACCGATTTCAAAAAGATGGTTATCAATTTGACCATACCGGTCTTATTATGCTATTTCGTTGGAAACCGCAATATATTCATTATGATTTAAATACGTGTGCAAATTACTAATTTTATTTTAATATGTGTATGTATCGAATTGGTTTACCCTACAATTTGCATTGGGCCAGCGTGGAGGGTCATGGCCCATCCTCCTTAACCATCCGTAAGGAAGGCCTGAGCACCTGCAGTAAGGACGTAAAAGGGCTGATGATGATATTTATTCACGTATTTCTCTCAAATTAGATATCGAAATAAAATTATTCTTTTTTTAGTTTAATTAATTATCTTCCAATTTAGGGACACCATATATTCTGAAAACAAAGTAACTTCAAGGACAAACTATAAATTAAGGAACAATGGTTCCAGGAAATCATATAACTTTTTCCAAAATTTATCAGGTGCCGTTGTTTGTTTACTAATATATAGTTTGCCTTTCTTTGAAATATCTCTTAATGGTGCATTTATCATCAAGGACAGAACAGTTAACTCCGTAATAGAATGTAAATGCATATAATAGACAATTTGATTAACCACTACGAATTTTAAAACATCTAGGTAGTTTGATTTTGAGAACTATTTTTTATAATACCTGCTACTAAATATATTATTTCTATTTCATAAATTTAATAGTCAGTAGTGTGGTAGTGTGATACATTAATTATCGTATTTTGGCGTTCGGTAATGCTATTTAATTTTTTAAGAGCTTGATTGCCGTAAGAAACGGCAATTGCAGTACGTTCGGCAACATTGCCCTTCACTCATGGCTCGATGCGATGCAATTCGATATCGATGACCGATATTGCACGAATCGCACGCCTTTATAAAATGTATGGAGAATCGCAAGTGTTTACTCATGAGATTGCACAAACTCTTAATATGGGTCACAAATAACCTCGACATCAAATTGTATGTACGTACTCATGGTCTGCGATATCGCTTCAAATGTATGAGGGCGGGTGAATTCTCGATCTGCTTCTTTCGAAGAATATCTGTTATTTATTACCACTAATCCGCATTAGGACCTACGCGCGGGCCCAGTTAGGAATTTTCCTAATTGGGCCCTAAATTCCTAATAAAACTAATTTTTATTTTTTAAATACTTTCTCATTATATATTCTGCTTAGAATGACATAATTTCGCAGGGATTCCCATAGGGATGCACGATATATCGGAAAACCGATATATATATAAATTCCCAAAAATATTGGTATCGAAGAAACCTTAAACCCCGATTTCAGTAACCCTGATTTTTTACATTGAAATTTGTAGTAGTTTTATATTATTGTTTTTGTTTAATTTGATTAAAATATCCCAATCCAATTTATTTATTGTGGCGATAATTTCCCGTTATGAACCTTCAGATGGCTTGTGGTCTTTTTGCAGGAGCCACCGTTACATGATGTAGGAACAGAGAACAGACTACATTGAAGTAGGCTGAGCTTTTTCTAAATTCGGTAGCTGTCACCCATACATTATTTTTTCGTCCGTTTAATAATTCCCCATTAAGTTATATCATAAAAAAATTGAAATGTAAATACTCGTTACTATGGCTAAATTTTAATGCCCTATAGAAATTTCAACTCCTTAGGGATGAAACAATACTACCTAGGTATCAATACTTTTACTCGATGTCGTTTCGGTCATGAGGTATCGATACCTATTTGGTACCGAATGAAAAGTTTTAAATGCCTCACCTTGGTCGTCATTTTTATAAATTTTTGAGCAGTTTTGATACTAATGGTAGCTTATAGCAATACTCTGTTCACGGAAGAAAGAGTAGCAGGTCCAGGCATAAAAAGTGATGGGTTAGGTACTATGCTTCGTCATACGATAGGGACGCCGCGCCTGTGGGACTTTTTCATGAGACAGATTTTAGACACCACAGAGTAAATAGTCAATACTCAATGTCTAAGTAATGCCTGGTCTTAATGCACGCGAGTGTTTCGACTCTCTTTAGTGAGCGATCGACCAAGTACCGATACAAATACTTTCTTCACGATACTACTTGTTACTTGGTTCTAAAGTATCGATGCCAAAAGTATTTGATAACGAAAGAAAAGTATCGAGTAAGTACTTGTATCGTTGCATCCCTTCCCCTCCCATTTTCATCCTTTTATATTTTTCGATATAAAATAGCGGATTTCTTTAAGTTCTTTTAAAGGGGAACAATTTCACCAAACATTATTTTTACGTAACATTTACCGTTTACGCAACACACAAAAGGAAAGCTCTTAAAAAGAGAAATATTTTCCTGTTACTCCTATTAGTGGACTATACAACACAAAAAAACAAAATTCGATTCGGGCCAGTAATTCCTGAGATTTGCACGTTCAATCAAACAAACAAATGAACTCTTCAGCTTTATAATTAGTATAAAGTATAGATTGATACTCGAGCTACATTATGCGTGAGTGGCATAGGCCTACTTTTAATCGAAACTCTTCAGTTTGTATTACACTAAATACATCAATCGGGATATAATCCCAATAACCAACTTATTAATCAGTATCAATCGCATAGCTCTTACACTATTGATTTTATTGATATCGAAAAACCCCGATTTTGATACTCATGTCTCATACACGCGCTCATTGATGATCATTAAGACCCATAACAACGTTCTTTTGATCTGATTTAATGTTCGATTGCAGCTCTGCAGCCTGCTCGGGTTCATATGCATCCAGGTGTCGTATCTGAGCACCCGCGGCAGGGGCGCCTACTTCAGCTGGATCTCGATGATAGCGTTCTGGTTCACGGGCATCCTTCTCGGCATGTACCTGTTCCACCTGGTGGAGAAGTTCTACAAGATCCCATGGCTCAGGATGGAGTTCGGATTCTGCACCCTGTGGACCTTCTTGTATCTGCTAGCCGCTATTTTAGCTGTCACGGTGCACGATAACCCACATTCGGCGGCCGCGGTGAGTCACTACATTATCACTAAAGAAGTCTTCCCGCTTTGACGGTGTGAAAGCTATAAACTGTGCGGGCGTGTTGTAATTCGTTTCGGCCGTTCGATGAGTCTGAAAAAATACACCATCGAGACCTCAGGTCGGAACGAGTCGCGGGTATAAAATAATTGATTCCACTATCATAGAATTTTGGCATAGATTTGTTATTAACGTAATATTGGTAATATCGGTCGATGCAGTTCTTCGGATTCGTGGCGATGTTCGCGTACGCGATCGACGCGTACGTGAAGTGGCGCGCGGTGCAGGGCGGCGGGCTGGCGCAGGGCACGCGCGTCGTGGCCAAGCAGACCGCCGCCGCCCTCGAGGCGCCGCCGCCCAGGGAGGGGTACTAGTCGACTAGCTCACTGGCCGACTGGCCGCAGCACACTCTTAGCGGTCTCGCCTAAAGTGACGGTTGTGGCGCCACACGCGCTCGGTAGGATGGCGCCTGCTGTGTAGCACCATCACGTTAGAAGATGCGTCAACAGTCGCTTTTGAACCGCATTAACGGCTCATTATAGTTAATTTATTTTCATATTTACAAGATACATCATAGAATTAAGTTATCACACTACTATTGACTGTTTTAATACCGATCAACATTTGTTATTATAAATTAAAATAGGACTGGAAAAATACGTAGAATTAAAAGAACACTATAAATAAACAAAAATTTATTAGATATCATTAGTAGGTAAATTAGTATACCACTCTCTTCTCATATTTATCGCTATATGTACAGAAAATTAAATGACAACGTCATTTGAATTGCTCTATATTATTGACACACTTGGAGCTCCCACCAACACCACCATCTTTTTTGGTATAGTACACACGTAAATTACATACGCACAACAGAAGCTTTCTCTTGTTTATAGTTAATTATTATAATGAACAGATTTCATTACCTCAATTTAACGTACTTAATTAACACTATTAAAATTAACATTAACAGGGATGAATGTTTAAGTGGTGAAGAGCCCAAAATATCTTCACATTTTTATGTATAGTATAAAAAAGTCCCTTTCTCTATCTCTATGTATGCTTAAAGCTTTATAACTACGCAACGGATTTTGATACCGCTTTTTTCATAAGAGTAGATAGGGTGATTCAAAAGGAAGATTTTTATGTATAATACAAGACCACGCGGGCAAAGCCGCTGGCGGAAAGCTAGTATAACATAAATCTTCACGGGCAGCGGTGCGTAAACCATACTTACAGAAACAAACAAGAAACGCACCGGTTTAACGTCATACTGTTCAGTGGTCGCAGTGCATATCGGAACATACCCAAAGCGATGCCCGAGTGATATATAACGATACGCCCCTCTACCACCCCCCTCCTTCCCGGCACTAAGATAGCCCGCCTCCCGTCAAGTGTGATGTTGATTTAGTGTCACCAGAGGTTAAGATCCATCTTTTTTATTAATTAGAATTTTGTATCAATTGTTATTATAAAACAACAGTCTACCTACTATTTGTGAAGGCTGCAAGACATTCTTTGTATTGTTAACATATATAGTTACGTTTAGAAGTTTCTGGTGTAAAATGTCGAAACCAAACTGCATTGTAATAAAAATTAAAGTTTTAATACTATCTTAGTGTAAATGTGTGATTTGAGAATTAATAAGGTAGTTTACCCTTCTTCTTATATGAAATACAGTTTTGGATTCGTTTTTATAGAACATATGTAATCGATATGTCCCGGTGAATTTACTCGTATACTCGAATTATATTAATTGAAACCAAAGAATGGTACGGTAGCAAGGTTGGTGTTGCTTGCCTTTATTTTTAATATGGATATATTCTAAGCTAATAAGTTAACTTATTTTTTATATCAATAGAAACTGAGTATTAAACGCTTTTACACTACTTTCTAATGTATTTATGTTGAAATCGTGACGTTTTGTAATATAAGTATTTTTCTTATTAGCGTTTTAATATTATATTTTAATAATACGACAAATTTTATACAAATGTATTTCTGATATTTCTGTGTACCAATTTTTTTTATTACTTATATACAAATTAAAGTATTCTTTGCATTATAACTTATAAGCGTCATATTATAACACAATAAGTATTGCATATATTTTGTATTCAAATATTTTATATCAAATTGGTAGTGATCAGTTCGAATATATTGTTATGTTACAAATATATCACATTATAAATAAGTTGTTATCGTAATAAAGACAATGTATTTTTATTGTAATAAGTATATAACTAAATCTGTGCCTTTATCAGGAATGCAAAAAGCTTACAGAACTATATGATCCATCAAAAACATAACATGTACATTATTGCACAAGCCTCACAGTACAATTCTTGTGCCGTAAAAGTTAATCAATGAATGTAAAACCAAGTCGATTTAATCAGAACCTGTCTTTCCGTGAGAGCAATACTCTATGTCGTATTGCTAAATCATAGTTGTATATTTCATCTGAGTGCTAAAAAGAGTAATGTGTACAACGCATTGACGGATGTTTACAAAATGCAATACAGTTATTAAAAATCTGAAAAACTACAAAACTTGACTAATATTTCATGATGTTAGATTTTTCCTTACTTTTTAGGAGTCTGTGGCTCTGCTAGAAGTACCTTAGAATTTTGATGGTCTATGAGTCAGTCAGTGACAAAATTATGGATTTTTAACTTTCAATGTTATAATCAATTTAAATGTTATTTTGAAATGTGCTTCGTTACGTGCTGCGCTCTTGGTCACTGAAATTTTAAGCTTCTATTTTACTATACAACAAAGTTACAGGGGTCAAAAATGGCGCGCATGGCTTTGAGATAAGACTGGTACGGCCGTGCCTTGTTCAGCTCCCTTTTGCTAGACATGGCGGATTAAAGTAAATACCTTGATTAAAATAAAAGAGTAGATATTACATTCATACTTATATCAATGAATGAAAAATTCATGATGTTTGTTTTAGTTCTAGAATCAGTTTTATATTTTTCAGAATTGTAGTTTCTTTATATATTTTTCTATCTTTTTATTTAAATTAAAATAATAAATAATTGCTGTGTCACTTTAGAATATAAATGATATAAGAGGCTATGACATTAGAGATATACAATAAAAGGCTCTGTGCGCATGCTCAAATATATTTATGATTTCTAGTGTACATTAGCTTTTGGTTTGCAACCAAAATCATTGCGCAAGTGTTATTAATATACATCGTACTGATATACAAACATTTATTATTACATTTTCCTTAATTGAAATACTATTTATTCCTGAATGCTATAAATTTTATGGACATGTTTAGAGTGGACTCTGGAGCTACTTCGGTGACATCTATAGAATAAGTCTTCTAGTTTTGGCGATTTGCTCAAAAGTTATCAACATTGTAATATGAGGTGAAGGCACGGCGCAGAAGGCAAATGGTTGGTTTTTTTTTTGTGTAGCTGATCTATTATTCTCCATTTTTTTTTACAACAGTTTATTTTTTATTTCCGTGATATATATCAAAATTTATCGTTGACGTCAATTGAATGAAATACTTACATGAATATTATTAAATTAGATCTGAATATGTCATGAATGTTTTTTAGTAACAGGTACCGTCGCCCGTGTCCTATCGCTCGTGCTTTTACCTTATAGAAAATATAAAAATATATATTTTCAAACTAATCGTGTTTGTGTGCGTTTTTTTGTTATTTAATGGATATATTAATATTAGATAGATTATTATTATATGCCGAGTTGTTTGTTATTAAATTGTGTTATTTGTATAATAGATAAGTTAAAGTGTGTCTTTTGGACAATATAGAAATAATATAATCTAATAAATTTTATAACTTATTTAATGCAAGTTCTGCGATTGTTTAATCTTTCTGGGTGTAAAGGTGTGAAAATAGTAATCTTCGATGTCTTCACTTAATACTTCTGTTAGTTTGAATTTTTTTATCAAATCAATAATCTATGATTAGAACAGTACCGCCTAAGAAGCAAAATTGTTTTATAAGCTCATGTATTAATAACCAATTACAATACATATGTCGCTGCCAAGTGGTTGAATCAGCAGTCCAATTTTAATTAAATGGCGTCATTCAATTAACGAGCTGACCGTCGATCAGCAGAGTAGCTGAAAGCATCGTTCTACAATACGGCTGAACAAAGGTCAGCCAACTTTCAATTCATCGGGAATACCGAATTTTATTGATAAGGTTAAAAATTAAAAAACTCCTTGTTACGAACTGTAATGACTGAGCAAAGAGAAATAAACTGTTTTTTCGCGACTGGGTGTTAATGGTCCGTATGATTAAATGCAGGATGCTAACGTACACACCGATAACGCAAATGGGTTAAGCTTAAACTTTCATACTTTTCTTTGGCTCCCAACCTGAGGGGTTCGGAACCACCTTCCCAACATGTAAGGAGGCGGTGAATCCTTCATTGGATATCACACAGCTTGCTGTGAGGTTATGTCAGACTTGTATTGACTAAACACCGCCTTGGAAAGTTGGTTGCGTGCCCTGAAGGGGCAACGAACCTTCGATCGATTGTCAAACGGTCTAAATGTCATAATGATTCAACTAGGAAACTAAATGGCTAGCCGCCCAATTGAACGGCAGATTTACCAACTTGGCTGCGACACGTATATTACGGTTGGTTATTAGCACACGGAGTTTATAAAACTGGACTTACATAAGCGACACTAACTTGTTATATTATGTAAACTCTATTGCACTAGAAATAAGATATACTTTATTCCTCAAATTATCTCGCTCGCATCACGCTCAATATAATAATAATTCACTAACTTAGTATGCATGTATACCGAATTGAATTTACAGTAACAATTCTGTGATTAAAAAAATAGGTATTTTTTAACTATTTTAACATGTTTTAAAATAAGCAATAATAATGTTTTAAATCTTTTCTAAGAAATAACCCATATCAATTTCTTTCTATAATATTATGCTATAATAATATATGGATATATTTTTTGTTGTCATATTGGTATCCTTGTTTTTAGTGAGTGTATTTTATGTTATAACAATTATTATACATCGAACAAAAACTAAAAGTCCCAACGCATTAGTGCCTTATAATACACAACTGTTATTAGTTATGTTATAGCATTAATCTGTATGAGATATATATTTTGTAACCTTATTAATGATTATAAACTATCATTATATTTTAATATTGCACATGTATCTATACACTGACAATTTACATTATATCTGTGAGTATTTAATCGATTAAAAATAAATGTTAATGCAAAAACTAACATAGTTGTTTCATTTTATTTAAATAATTTTTTTGTCGAATGTTCGACTCGTTCATAATCTTAACACAAGAAATAAAAATAAACTTGCCATTCCAAGCTTCAAACTTCAAAAAACCAGAGGATCATTTTTGGGTAAATGTATTGCTATGTTCAATAAAGTTCCACAAAATGTAATTGACCTACCCATAAATAAATTTCAAATTCATGTAAAGAATATACTTATGAGTTAAAGGCTATTATAAAGTTGATGATTATTTTAAGGACCGCAATGCATGGAATGAATAGCCTTCGCTCTGTTCTATAACGATTAATTATAGGTATGTACCAACCTATGTCCTACAGACAGAAATTTGTATTTATTATTGTTCAATATATGTATTATTTTTATGTAAATTATTTTATGTAATTTATGATTTATGTAAATGTCATTACTTATGATAAAAAGCTAATAAGTTTCTTTCGCTTGTTCTTCTTGTCAGCTAAAAGACGTCCTGAACAAGTGGTAGGGGAAAAAATTTTTTTGGACGATTCAAAAGTGCTTGTAACAAGCCTAAGCCATTAAATGAAAATGTTTTATTCAAGTAACAAGCTTACTTGAATAAAACATTTTCATTTAATTACTGCAAAAACTCAATTAGTATACGTAGTACGCAGTACTTGAAAGTGTTACGGTTATTTTTACCATTAGAGCTTTCAATAAGAGTGCGTTATTGGACGATATTGTTAAAATTATTTATTTTATAACGCCATATAACAAGTCACAGTCATGTTCATGAATTAAAGACATTGTATTATAATAATAGTCAGACTTTACCCCAGTAAAATATGCACGAAATAAAAGAAGCGGACGATATTGCCATATATAAAAATAACAAAAACATTCTTATAACGATAAACAGGCAACATTTTGCAATAATTTAGTATCATTGGCCTTAATTACTAAGAGATGAAATAAAATTTTCGCGTTATATAAATAATTTATTATATAATGTAGTCAGTTACAACGTACAACCGACATAAATAATAAAAGTAACGTGATGTTTACAACTTAAGCCGTTTTATATCTTCAATTTTGAAGTCCGTTCTGAAATAGAAAATAATATAATGTAAATGTTAATGTTCGATGGCAACATGCATACAATAATTAATGTTTTCAATTCAAAATAACGTTTTACTTCGATCTCGAAATAAATACTTTTGTAAAATAGAAATAAAAATCCAGACCTGAATTCGAATTAACTCACGTGTCCAGGGCTGATCCAAATTAAATTACTTTAATGGAAACCTTAACGAAGACGGTACCACAACACTCAGACTATAATATATAGAAAAGTCCAGTTTCCTAACGTGGACATATCCTCGTATGTCAGTATTTATGTACCCTTATGTCATTACATCCTGTGTATCGGAATATACCACAGAATAAATAAAAAGGTTAGAACGATAACGTACTAACATTAGTACAGGCCCACGCGTGCCAGTTACCAAACAGATGTAAAGTTACCTATTCAGCACAAAGATAGCGATCTACCATTGGCTACAAAACTTTCAGCGAAAGAAGTCTTTAAAAACCTAATAATATAGTCGATTTTACGGTAATACACAAGTATGTGTTACCAGCTATAATAAAAATCTGCACAATTGATTTAAGTTCTAAATACTATAATTCAAGCGTAAATAGTAAATTTATTTGAGTGCAAAAATTTATAATAAAGGTGTCAGTAATTATACTGCACGACGTATGTATATTAAAACAATTTTTCACATTACAGGGCACAACAATTTTACCTCTGTTATCACTAGAATAGTGAAGTGCCTTGTTATTTACAGTCCGATTACGATAATTACATTATTGTATTTGTACTGTAAAATAATTTATTTTATTTATACTATTACGCAACTGCCATAAAAATAAATAAATATAAATGCTGCGTGTATGTAATGAATTATATTCATGTGAGAATGGCTAGATCAATTGACCGTTTCGTATTGTTGCTAAAGTATCGATGTCCTTGCGATTTTTGTTAGTTTAATTAGAAGTCGGTTGCCACAGGGTTACGAAATCAAAGAGAAGATGACGTTGCTCATTTTCTTTTACATTATTTAAGAATTTTGATTTTTGTTTAGGTAAAGTGTGGTCAACCGCAAAGGTTAATGCTAAAAAACCGACCAAGTGTGAGTCGGACTAACGGCTTCGGTACCGGAAACTTTTCGGAAAAGAGCCTGGTGATAGACGGACAGCGAACTCTCACCAATCCGGTTCCGTTTTATATTTTATAGGTATGGAACTTTAAAAATGCAAGTCTAGCGTAAACGAAAAGTAACTCGGATAATAAGAAAAATTAAGTTTTGAGTTAAGGTTAGTTAAATATTCCAACAGATACATTTTTATTCCCATAGTCGTATTGGCAGTTTTAACACGCACTGGGGCATCGCAACAAGTCCGAATATTGGCTTAATCAAAATAAGACCTCACTTTGAAGAGAGGCGCTGTTGGGATTGGCCATTTTTGAGACCGATATTTATCGATTAGTTTTTACGTACCGACGAGAAGAAGTTCTACCTTTTTTTCAGACTCCCATTTTCACAACGCAAACGACACGTATTGATCGCGCAACTCGGCACATATGTGTACTTCGCGCCACACCTCGGACCGCGATGACATACCGGCAACGGGACGTTCGGACGACCGCTCGGGCAAACGGGCGATCGGCCGACCCCGCCCACTGGATCGTTGCTCTATGGCATATGTACGTGTATATACATTGTAGCTAAAAAGTGTTTCAATAGTATACCGTTGGTAGAAAAAGCTCCCGACGGTGTGCTCCTAACGCATCGATATGATACCGATAACCGTTCGTAGGCAAAATGTATGAAAGTGGCGCAAAAAGGTGTTTCACTAAAAAATCAATCCGTCAGTTGAGCTGTCAAACTTCCTATCCGTAGCTTATGTGTCAAATTTGCCTACCGGTCATTTTCCGTCAGTTATGGTATAAATATTTGTAAATTACACGTTTTCCCCTGTTAATTAATAGGAAAGCAACAGTTTTTAGTTAAAACATTGATATTGTAAAAGAGCTTAATATATTTTGTGGTTCCAATAAGAAGACTTAAAGTTGTAATCGTGTCAATATTTGTACCTAAAAACTACACAATTTTTACATTTTTCTACGTTTGTTTTACGATTTGATACAATTATTCCACTTCTTCTAATAACCATTCATTTATCATCCTATGCCAATGGATCACAATTGTTCACTGTCAATTTCATTAATTTTATCTTGCAAATTCATTATGTATTGTAATATATACAAATCACATTATACAATCAAAAATGCAAATTCATTATGTATTGTAATATATACAAATCACATTATACAATCAAAAATTTATAATAAAAGTAAACTGTATATAAAATTCCCGCTAAGCTTCCACGGAAAATAAATCGATTTTACTTTTTGGCATAATTAAAAGCAAAGGGATATAGCACATACGAGCTAGTCTAGGGTGATACTATTCACATTGAGGTTTACTTGGATGTTTCAACGTTTTTCTTTTTCTCTTTTTGAAGCTAAAGTTGAGAGATATTAGTAAATGGTGAGGTTCGAAAGTGACAAGTTCACGATCTTATACCTGCTAAATTGACAAAACACTGTCCATACCCATGCATGAATTTTGTATTGCTCACGCTTATTTATACTCCCAAATTTTTATTATTAACTTATACAAACAAATTATGTTATTTCTGGGGTTGCAAACATAAAAAAATATAATTTTAATTTTAAAAAGACTTCAAAAAAGAGGAGGTTTCTGATTCAAGTGTAACTAATCCTGTATAACATGTGGGGGTAAAAATGTAATATTTGTTGACATTAGCCAATAGGAGTTTTATTACTTTTTCAATTTTATGTACTATGAATTGTAAAATATCAGATAAAATAACGATCTCAGGTGTATTTCTTTTTTAAGTAATTCTCTTGTTAATAAAAATGGTTAATACAAACGTTTACTTCCAATAATAAAACATTTACCTGGTTGATGGTTCAGACTCCATATGAATTTCTTACGAACGAGGGATATATTTCAGATTCTATATATGTAGACTTTAGAGGGCTGGTCAATGAAAATATGTAGATATTCCACAGGTTGATTTTATTAATATAAGGTGCGTTAGAGAAATGCCTATCACTTAGCGTGGATGCGTGCAGACTGACTGCGCCACACCGCTGCGCCCTCTACGGGCGTTCAATTTACCTACATATATTTTTATACTTATTTATTAAGCTACCTTCCAATGAGCTCGTCGCTAACAATATGTTTCAGCATTCGAAGGAGACTTATATACTTTGTAATATATTAAATGATTTTTTTTCAAAAACTTCTGAAATATTGAATATGTATGAAAATTAGAAGTAATACATTATAAGTTTTTATCATAATAACAATAAATAAATAACAAAAATCACCAAAGACAAGGCTGTATGGGAAGATTTCTTTTAATTGAGTTAAAGATTATAATTTAAAAAATGAGCTACCGACTACTGTTCGGAGTTGGTAGACGCTTACCGATGATCGTGAAACACAAAAACGAATGGTTTTCGGTATCTCAAAAACGGTCGGCAGCTGCTACCGACGGTCGTCGGTAGATTATGAAGACCGGGGGTGAGTCCAATTCGGTGTAGAACAAATCGAAGCCCTGAATTTGGAAACTCCGGGAAAGGGAAATCAGGAACCAGAAGAGGGCGCGTAGTGGATTTTTCCTAATTTAAGATAAGAATCAGTGTTTCTTTATTTTCAAACGTGGAGTCGTTTTACTAATACGATGTCGAGTTTTGAGCGACCGAACACTTTAAACGTTCACAGGAGACGCGTGGAAATTTCTGTGAATCATCCGCCGGACCGAGGGCGAGAAACTTCGGAGCGTGCATTTTTACAAGAGTATACCGACCGATGTCCTTGTGCGCGGGCGGCGCGGCGACGTACTGCGCCCACGCGTCCAGGCGCGGCTGCAGGGCGGCGCGCGCGGCGGCGGCGGCCAAGTCCCGCGCCGCGCGGTACGCCGCCCCCGCGCCCGCCAGCCCCCCCGCGCACGACGCCAGCCGCTCGCGCGCCCCCGCCCCCGCCCCCGCGCCCGCCCGCGGCAGCGTCTCCGCCCACGCGCACGCGTCCGCGGCCAGCTGCGCGGCCCACTCGCTACCCGCCTCCGCCTCGTTCATGTGCGCCTGGGACACGCGATACGGCAGTGATAGTATTTGTTCTGTGACGGATTCTATTCCGTCTGCTAATTAAGTAAACTGGAAATCGTCGAAAACAAAATAAACAAAATTTGTTAAAGAAACATAAGATATTTTACATACTAAAATTTAGCGCCGAAACGATATATAGTCATTCTTATAGACGAATAGATACGGCGGAATCGTTCCGGGACCCCACCCGGGAGTCATGATATTACGAAATATGATCGGGATTTGAGATCGCGCGATTTGAATACTTTAAATGTAAAAAAATATAAAAATCACTCTATATTCTTTCCGTTTGTTATTTTCATTACGGAGCTCGATACCTAGAATCGATTTAACTTTAAACGAACATCGCACGAGCTCGTCAAACTACAGAACGATACCCTGTCGAGATTCGATTCGTTCTCTATAAAATTCGTCGCCCAAGTGATATAATATGACAAAAGAACTCGAACGAGGTGGGCGAGATACCAGAAAGAGTTGCCTCTGCGCGTCGTCGTCGAGCACGTCGTCCTCGGCGGCGGAGAGGAGCGAGTTGGACGGCGCGGGCGGGGGCGGCAGGCGCGCGGGGCGCGGCGGGGGCCGCAGCCAGCGGCGCAGCGCGTGGGCGCCGCGCTCCACCAGCGCGCCCGCCTCGTTGAGCACCGCGCACACCGCCTCCACGCTGCCCGTCGACACGCTGCGTCTGCGCACACGCACACACACACACACGCGCGTTACCGGCTCGGTTCAACGAGTAAATGTAGCAGTTCCGAGTCGAGGAGCTCCTAAACCTTTCAAATTTTCCCGATCCCAAAAATCACTCCGAAGAGTACAAAAATAATGTTAAAAATAAAAATAAGCTCAGCCGTTAGCCGGGTGCGAAGTACTAAATGGAGGTGACGTCCGCAGAAGCGAAGTTGACGGTACCCGATCTTGAAGAAATATTAAGAGGTATCTTTATATCTTCGACGACGAAAGAACGGCGCTCTTGCGCGTCGTCGCTTTCAATAATCACTCGATTGTTCTCCTCCAAAGCGAGAAAAAACCGACGCGAGGATTGTCCAACTGGCAAGACTCGCATCGAGCTAACGTTTATTTTGAATTATAGTTTCCTTCACAACTCCTCATCCTGCCATCGAGACATACTATAAAAATAAACATATAAATAAATAATTAAATACACATTAATACTATATTAAATATACCGTCCTAATATATACCTATGTAAAGGCTCTTAATAGAAACTGTGTTCCTTTTGTACCTCCTTTCTTAGGTTAATATCTATGGTTTTATTTTAAAGCAACATTTTTTGTTATCGTCTGTCAAACTATTATAAAAATTCCAATAGCAGAAAAATTGTGGTTTTATTGTGGTATTTATGTGAGAAGATTAAAGTTTTAATCATATGGTGCCGAAACCCGGGAACGAATACAATAAAAACATGTATTTATAAAAATCGTGAGTCAAGTACAGTTGAAAAGGACTTAGTGAAAATCAGTTTTGTTTTAATAGAGTAAAAACTGTTTAGTAGTTTGGGGGCTTAGAGATTAAATAATAAATTACAAAATGGATAAATTAATACTATTACAAGAAGAAATTGTGACGCAAATAAATAGAGCTTATATTAACTATAAAAAGTCAAGTAAAGATAGATTAACTACGTTATACATACAAACAAGACTAGAGAACTTAGAAGGCTTATGGAAGAGGTTTACTGACAATCATTATGATGTTATAGTCGCAACACCAAAGCAAGATCGAGACGCATTGCCCTATTTTAAGGAAGGTTATTATGAAAGTTTAGAGGATATATATACCGACTATAAAACAAAGATGAAAATTGATTTAGCCAAAAGTGATGTTGGTCATTCAGCTTCTATGAAAGTATGTGATGTAAGTAGTTCTAACGTCGCCCCCACTAACTTAGAAGTTAAGTTACCACAGATACAATTACCTTCGTTTTCCGGTTCTTATGAAGATTGGGAATGTTTTCATGATATGTTTGTTTCGTTGATTCACACCAATCAACATTTGAATGCAGTGCAGAAGCTTCATTACCTGAAAAGTAGTTTGAAGGGCGAACCTGAAATGTTATTGAAAAGTTTGACTACTACAGAAATGAACTATGATGAAGCATGGGACAAACTGAAACGTCGCTATAGTAACAAAAGATATAATTCTAACGAGGTAATGAAGCGTTTGTTCTCACAGAAAACAATCTCATCCGAGTCCGCCTCTGCCATAAAGCAATTGATTGATACAACATCCGCCTGTTTAAAATCCCTGAAAAATTTAGGTATTGATATAGCGACGTGGGATGTCATAATCAATTACTTGGTTGTATCTAAATTAGATTATGAGACGCGGAAACAATGGGAAACGGAAATTGGTCGCTCTACAACTGATGAATTTCCAACGTGGAACCAATTAGTTCAATTTCTGGAAACGAGATTTAGAACCCTAGAAATGATCTATGACGCAAAACAACCTGTGAAATATAACGTAAATACTAAGCAAATCACAAAACAAAAAGTATTTCATTCAACTGTACAAGAGAATAAGAGAGAGAATAAAGAACAAAATAAAGCATGCGTGTTGTGTTCGAATCCCCATTTATTATTCCAATGTAAACAATTTGCAAGCAAGTCTCCCGAAGAGAGATCCGAGTTTGTTAATACCAAGAGACTTTGTTTCAATTGTTTTTCATCCAACCACAATGTGAGAAACTGCCATCAATCCACGTGCTGTCGTCGGTGTGGCAGGCGTCATCACACACTGCTACATATAGAGAGAATTTCATCACAAGAAGCTGTCGTGGCACCGTTGCCGTCCACAAGTACTGATCAATCTTCTGGTAATGTAACTAGTAGTCCGCAAAGTTTAGATTATGAGAAAAAGGTAGTAGCTCATTTTGCAAAAGAGGAGCATCAAGTTAAGGTGCTATTAGCCACGGCTTTAGTCAAGGTTAAATCCACAAATGGCTACATTCAAACAGCGCGGGTTCTGATTGATCAGGGTTCCGAAGCTTCTTTTGTTACTGAGAGTATCGCTCAATCTTTATGTCTTAAGCGTACACCAGTAAATGGTTTAGTAACTGGTGTAGGTGACGGTAAACTAAAAACTAAAAATATTGTTCATTTTGAGATAGAATCCATAAATAATCCTGACTTTTCCATTTCAGTGAACGCTTTTATTTTATCTTCGTTGACTTCATTTCTTCCATCGAGTAAGTCTTCCATTCTGAACTGGCCTGATATTAATAACTTACCGTTGGCTGATCCTCATTATGACTCGCCTGGTAAAATAGATATTATTTTAGGGGTTGAAGTCTACAGTCAAATAATATTGAGTGGACTATTGAAACACCCATCGGATGTTGGGCCTGTGGCACAAAACACTCAGTTAGGATGGATTTTGTCCGGAAAAATGAGCCAACAAGATGAATTCGACCCGAGAGTCGTTAGTCTTCACTTACAAGTTAATATAGATAGTTTACTGAAACAATTTTGGGAAATTGAAAGAGAACCGGATTTAATTGGAAGAAAGCTAACTAAAGAAGAGATTAGATGTGAAGAGATATTTGAAAGAACTACTGTAAGAGATAATGATGGGCGTTATGTAGTTCGATTACCGTTCAAGGAATCGAGTCCGAAGTGTATATACGGAAGATCTAAAACCATTGCAATTAAAAGATTAAATCTGTTAGAAAAGAAACTTAAGAAAAACTATAATTTACGTGTAGAGTATGCTAATGTGCTTGCGGATTATTTGCAACAAAATCATATGGAACAAATTAAGGACCAAAAAGAGATTGATAATCCTTACGCTGTGTACCTTCCTCACCACGCTATAGTCCGAGAAGATAGACAAACTACAAAAGTAAGAGTAGTTTTTGACGCATCTTGTAAAGGTGTTAATGGTGTGTCATTAAATGATACATTACTAGTGGGCCCTAGAATACAACAAGATCTACGCCACATTTTGATGAGGTGGCGAACAAAGCAGTATTGTGTCGTAGCGGATATAACACAAATGTATAGGCAGGTGGTCGTTGATAAAAGTGATACCGATTTTCAACGCATAGTATGGCGTAATGATCCCGATCAACCCATACAGCATTTCAGACTATTGAGACTCACCTTCGGAACGTCGTGTGCGCCATATTTGGCAGTAAAATCTCTCCAACAGTTGGCAAAGGATGAAGAGGCGAAATATCCGTTGGCTGCAAAAATAACTGTTGAAGATTTCTATGTAGATGATATGTTATCCAGTTGCGAGACAGAAGATGAAGCTATACAAATTTATAAAGAAATTAACGAATTAATGAAAGAAGGAGGCTTTATGTTACAAAAATGGGGCAGCAACAGCAAATTACTTTTGGATTATATTGAAAGAGAGAACCATAGCTTAAATACTAACTACCATTTTAAAGTTAATGACACCATTAAAGTTTTAGGTATTTCATGGAATAAAATTTCTGACAATTTTGAGTACACCTATAACTTACCAGAATTAGATACATCTGTGACAAAACGTAAAGTTTTATCCAACATTGCAAGACTTTACGATCCAATGGGTTGGGTAACGCCAGTATTAATTACAGCTAAAATCTACATGCAAAAGTTGTGGAAGTCTGGTTTGAACTGGGACGATAACTTGACACCAGATTTACAAAAAGAATGGTTTCAATTTAGAGAGGAACTAAACAAAATGGAAAGTATTGTCATTCCTAGATGGTTGTCAACAAAGAAAAATGATTCAGTTGAGCTTCACGTATTCGCTGACGCTTCACAGTCCGCTTATGCTGCTGTCGTTTATATTAAATCAATTGACAAGGATGGAAATATTCATGTAAATATAGTAACAGCGAAAACAAAGGTTGCACCAATCGATAAAGAGATTTCTATACCAAGAATGGAACTATGTGCAGCATTGATGGCTGCTAAACTCATTTTTGAAGTCGCTCAAATATTGAAGGTACCTAAAAATAAAATGTTTGCATGGTCCGATTCAACTGTAGTGTTAGCATGGCTTAGAGGGGAGCCGAGTCGTTGGACCACATTTGTCAGTAATCGGGTTTCTGAAATTTTAACGATTATGGAATTTGACCAATGGAACCATGTGACCACAGATCAAAACCCTGCAGATTGTGCATCTAGGGGCATATCTGTAAAAGAATTGAGTGAACATAGTATGTGGTGGCATGGACCTAAATTTTTACATCATACAAATGTTTATATGACCAATTTTGAAGAAGATACTGATCTCGAAGCAAAGCCTATTAGAGCACTCACAACCCTAGTACAGGCAAATGAAGATTTTGTATGGACACGATTTTCAAACTTAAACAAAATGTTACGAGTGCTCGCTTACTGTAGAAAGTTTTTAAAGTTAAAAGAGCCTAAAAACACACGTGAAATTGACAAATCAATTACAGTAAAAGAAATGACTGAAGTTTTAAATAAATGTATAAAGGAAACACAAAAATTACATTTCGAAGAAGAAATTAAGCAACTGAACTCTGGAGCTGGATGTGTCACTAAAAAAAGTACTCTTCACTCTCTTTCGCCGTTTTTGGATGAAAATGAATTATTAAGAGTAGGAGGTCGTATCGAGTTTTCTGTTGCACGAGTTGAGAAAAAACACCCGTTAATTTTGCCTAGTGACTCTCATCTAACTAAATTAATAATTATAGATGCACATTACAAGACACTTCACGGTGGACCTCAAATTATGATAAATTTTATAAGAAGTAAATATTGGATAATAAGAATTAGAGAGAAAGTAAAAAAATGCTATCGAAATTGCGTAACTTGTGTTCGTTATTCACGTCAAAATAACAATCCATTTATGGGCCAAATTCCAAAGGCTAGATTAACTCCTGATAGACCTTTTCGATCATCTGGTGTGGATTTCACTGGTCATATAAATGTAAGATTTTCGCCTGGCAGAGGATCAAAATCCTATAAGAGCTACATATGTGTTTTTGTATGTATGTCAACCAAAGCGATCCATCTAGAAGCTGTATCGGATCTAACAGCCGCTGCGTTCATAGCAGCTTTCAAAAGATTCGTTTCCCGTAGAGGTTATTGTCAACATTTATACAGCGACAACGGGTCCAATTTTATAGGAGCTGATAAAGAATTGAGAGATATGTTCAATAAAGCGAAATCGCAATTGCCAATCGAAATTTCTCATTTACTTGCTCAAGAAGGCACTACATGGCATTTCATACCGCCACAAGCTCCCAATTTCGGAGGACTTTGGGAAGCTGCTGTCCGGTCTACTAAGACTCATTTAAAAAGAGTCATAGGAGATTCAACACTTACCTTTGAGGAGTTAACCACGATCTTAACACAGGTAGAGGCGTGCTTAAACTCCCGTCCTTTATCCTATTTAAGCGATAATCCAGAGGATCCAATGCCATTGACGCCGGGTCATTTTTTAATTGGAGAACCACTTATTACAGTTCCCGATGAGGATTTTTCTCAATCGTATATATCAGGTCGTCAGAGATGGAAGCTTACTCAAAAAATAGTTAATGATTTTTGGAAGAGGTGGTCTGACGAGTATTTAGTAACTTTAAATAATAGGTATAAATGGTCTATTAAAAAAGATGAGCCTGAAATTGATGATATTGTAGTTGTGAGAGATCATAATATTCCTCCAGCAAAATGGTTGTTAGGAAAAATCATAGAGAAACACCCTGGTAAAGATAACATTACCCGCGTTGTTACAATTAAAACAAAAAATAATACTTTTAAACGGCCATGTAACAAATTATGTTTCTTACCAAAAGCTTAGTTTTATATAATAATAATAATAATTAATAAATATGTTTGTGTTATTTGTATAGAGTTTTTACGGTGGGCGGATCTGAAAATCTGCTTTATAACAATAATATTAAGTTTTGAAAAGGCCGGTAGCCTTTTGGTGGGCGGAATGTTTAATAAGGTAAATACATACTATAAAAATAAACATATAAATAAATAATTAAATACACATTAATACTATATTAAATATACCGTCCTAATATATACCTATGTAAAGGCTCTTAATAGAAACTGTGTTCCTTTTGTACCTCCTTTCTTAGGTTAATATCTATGGTTTTATTTTAAAGCAACATTTTTTGTTATCGTCTGTCAAACTATTATAAAAATTCCAATAGCAGAAAAATTGTGGTTTTATTGTGGTATTTATGTGAGAAGATTAAAGTTTTAATCACTTGTAATACGCTAAATGATGTTCCGCAAGGTTACATGCTATGTCCGCTACTTTTTATAATCTTTGCTATGATATATTTTTGCCACCATGATGGAGATATATTTGGAGTTAATGGTTTGTACTCTAAATATATGCTATAAAAATACAAATTATAAATTGCATTTTATCTAAAAAGGTGTTGTCTGAATAATTACGAGCCTGTCCCAAATAGAATAAAATATTTTTACTTTATTTCAGTATAACCGTATGATAAAAACTATACAGGAATTACAAATACAAGAAGTGCACGTTAGTTAATCTATTTTATGAAATAAAATCTTTTTAAATCTAATTTTATAAAATTTTATTTCTATGCGAACACTAACCTTATCGACTTCTTGGCGATGAAGAAGATGTCGTCGACGAGGTTGGAGGTGGTCGAACCAGGTTGAGGGGTCGCCATCTTTATAGCTTTGTTCACGTTCTCTTCCAGGAAATATCTATAAATGTCGTACTTACAATGTCACGCGGAATGTTAATAATTCAATGAGTAATACGTTATAAGCATTTAAAAGTAAATTTAAAAGTTATATTCAGGGGCAACTTACCTCTCTAGTTTTAGATATTGTCCCAGTAAATCTTGGGCTGTTCTCGTGAGATCACTCTCTGCGATGATCTTCTCGACTGCCTCCTGACAGGCTCGTTGCGTTTCTTCATCCGAGGAGGCGGCGTCCATCTAAAATATCGTGATTTTAAATACGCAAACACTCGATCTAAGCAGACGGGGCGCCAGAAGATACGGAGGGAGCGAACGTATTTCATAATTAACGTACATTAATTATAGAACGTTCTTACATTTTTTTTTTATTTATTTAGAATAATAAACCATCGTACCGTACATATTATATTAATTTGTACAGCTTAAGGTTATAACCATTCGTACAATCAACAAATTTTCAGTTATTTTGTGGACTATAGAACACATTATATGATCTTCTTTATTACGATCCTTCGAGCCGGATATCGATCAGACAAGTTTTTAACTTCAAGAAAAGTGTTAACATGAGTAGTAAAAGTCGCACTGGACCTGTGTTTTCCTGCGCAGGAAGGCGAAGTACAGCGTGATGGTGTTGATGGCGGCGGCCAGCTCCGCCAGCGCGGGCTCGACGGCGCGCGGCTCCAACGGCGCCCCCGCCCCCGCGCCCCCCACACCCGCCCCCGCCCCCGCCCCCGCCGCCAGCCCAGCCAGCGCGCGCGCGCACGCCGCCGATACCTATATGGTAACGCAGGGGAAATGCAATGTTAAGTCTTACCTGGGCTCTTCGGTCACGTACCCGTCCTGAAAAGGACAGGTTACAGCGAGGTAGGCTTATCCGCTAAAACCTGCTAAGTTCTGGTGGGAGGGGGAGAAACTCACAGTTTACCCTCGACTTCGCCAGCGTAAATTATGACCCACGTGTGATGTAGCTGTCGGTGAGTGAAATTAAAAAAATGATACAGTATTTTCGGAGTTTATTTGGTCTGAGCCGATGGACGTCTCGTTCCGACCGAAGAATGTGCGATGAGCTCGGGGATGGTTGATTTTTCTTCCTTTTTAATTTCATATAGAAAAATCTAGTTGTTCGGGGTATATCGATATGATTTGGTAAATGATAATATTTGATTAAAAAAAAACTGTATATTTAAAACAACTATTAACACTAACACGTATGAATGTATGATTGAATGTATGAGTACGCGTAGCGCTCTTGGTGGCTGATTACTATTGAATTTATGATATTTATATAGAGCGCCCACTGACCACTGGCTGGATGAGGGCGAGGGCGCGGGGCAGGCGCGCGCGCGGGGGCGAGTGCGGGGGCGAGTGCGGGTGCGGGGGCGGGGGCGGGGGCGGGGGCGGCGCGGCGGCCAGCGTGCGGCGCGCGCGCTCCACCGCCGCGGCCGCCGCCTGCAGCACGCGCGCGCACGCCGCCGCGGGGCCGCTCGGCTCCGCCGTCGCGCTCGCGCGCTTTATAGCCGCCTCCGTCTAAGCACGCAATGATATATACATTCAACAAAGCCGTCTCGACCCCGAACGAGGGCTGACCCGTTCGAATTAGGCCCCCGAAGCGCTAGCGGAGCGTGAGCTCTTCGAAACGTCGAATATTATACTCTGTCCGGTGACCTACACGCGTTTCTTTTCGATGACCGAATTTTTCGCTCGGAGGCGTACTTGAAATTCGTTGGAGTGATTTATGAATTACGGGTCGACGAATATCGAGGCTTTGAAAACGGAGCTAAGATTGAGGTGAGAAATTTCGCGGGATAAAAGCTAAATCAGAAATTGGTGCTTATTTTGCGCTTTCGATATTTTTAATAAAACAGTTTATTTATGTATTGAGATCTACGATTTCAGCATCGTAGTGAACAAATGCCGCGCCATCTTGTGATTAATAAATGGTAGCCCTCGTTCCTTGCGCAATTTGCGAGACCGGCCCGCTCGAGAAATTACTCTTCCGCTTTCGTTCGTGCCTCGTAACGTTAGATTTGAAAAAGCGCAGCGTTATAAAATACGTCTCCTATTCTGGGCGCCTTAAAATAATTTGAGACATTCCAGGATATATAAAATGTGTCTCGAATAGAAAAAAGATATCGTTTAGAATAAATAAAGTACTCAGCGAATAACAGTAATATTCCACAGATAAACGAATACACAAATATGGGTAATTTTTTTTATCCAGGTAAATATATAAATAATATTGAAAAAGGTATTGAACTAAAACAGTATCAAAGTATACCTACTTGCGATATGAACTGACCTGAGCCGCGATATATTTGGCGAGTAAATCGACGCCCTCCTCGGCGCGGCCGATCTGAGGGAACAGCTTGTACAGCCGCTCGACGGACGCCGCGTCGTCCTTGCGGGCCGCCTCCTCGAATCTGGCAAACGACTATTTTATTACAAACACTAATAATAAGGCGGAGGTAAAATGTAACGCTAGACGAGTGATGCAGGTTATAACATCTATAAGTGGAAACTTGTAATAATTTTTAACAGAAGAACAGATCGACAATGAAACAAATATAAAAAATAAGGTGTACAGGTAAAATTAATATTTATTAAAATTCATTGAATGTTCAAACTAAGCCGCCTATAAAATTCCATAAACCACGTTTTCAGTCTCGTTATTTGCCTATGAATAAATTGTAAATTAATTCATCTAAATATTTATCGTTTTATTTTCGTTATCCGTTTTCGGAGCGACACCCTAAATTCTCTTTGAAAATAAATTTACATTTCAAATGGCTTAAAATACTTCTTTAAAGATCAGAGATCTAATTGCGACAATAATTCTTTTGATACTCGTGACGACGGCGATTCGGAACGTCATTAAATGCCGTTATTCACATGGCGATGGTCTGGTTCTAATAAAAGTGCACGTAGAGTACTGACTTGCGCACGAGGTGGTCCCTTAGCGTGTCGGCGGCGCGTGTCATGGCGTGCCGCGGGTCCGGCGCCCCGCGCGCCCGCGCCGCCGCCACCGAGCCCGGGTCCATGCTCAGGAACCGCGCCACGTGGCCCGCGCCTACACGCACCACGCACGACCGTCACATACGCTCGATCTCAATCCAGCCAAAGGACACTGATGAAATTTACAGTGGTACGACCACCACCAGAAGGAATTCACTCTTGCCTTGAACAGGTCTGGGTTATGTGCACTCGGGGCTAGGGGCGATGACTAATCTCGGGTAGATTATTAAAGAATATCAAACACATGATTTTTATTTTTTGGTTTATCAATAAATATCTTACGTTTTTCTATAATGTGACTAGCGGACTAAATAGAATTTCTTCTTTTTTACCCAGGTCTCTATTTAGACGCCGGCAGGGAGTTCCCTCCATGGTCATAAAAAATATGATGAATAGCTCTTTGTCTATGGTAAATAAAATTGACCTTTTATTGTGATTCCTAAAAAAATATTTTAGTTACTTCTAATATTTTGTTATCATTATGCACTAGGTACTTTACGATAATTACTTGGCGATAATTTGTATCCCGAACTGTAAGTTGCAACAGTATTTTGCTTGGGACCGTGTGTTGTATCATCAGCAAATAAGATACATGTTTGTTCAATGACACAAGGCTAGTCATTGATATAAAATGGAAATAAAAGTGGTCAAAGGGCACTACCCTGGGAAACACACCACAATGGTTCATATTATATTTAGAAGTATAAGACATTTTTAAATGCCATTTGGATCTAACTGAATTCCAAAACATATACAACATCAATCTACCCTATCTTTGGGTTGATTATGAAATTTCAATTCTTAATTAGTTTTAAGAAACTGTATAAACTTAAATTTAAATAAAAATAAAGGTATTACTCTGTACAAACCAGTTTCATAGTCATGTGCTTTGATGGCAGCCTCCACTCCTGCACTACATAGTTGTAGATCAATCAGATCATGCACCCGCCTTTGACATTCTGCAACTCGTGACTACAACAAACAGAACCTTGACTATTATATGAGTTAAAACTTTTTCTAAAGTTAAAGTTAATATGTTTATTCAAACAGAATTGTTTTAAAGTACTTTTGAATCGTTCAATCATGTCATTACCAGATCAATATATCAAATCCTAGTCAAGTTACATTTTCTTCATTATTCTCATATTGTAAAAAAATCAAAACATCTCTCAAATTCTATAATTATCAAAGGAATGTATGGATGATATTTTCACATTGTAAAAAGGCATAACAAATCTTTTAATTAATAGTTGAAATAAATAATAAGTTTCTAAACTAAACTCACTATATAAACATTAATAATAAATATGGAATGAAATAAAATAAATATTAGATTAATAAAAAATGCTTAGATCACACAGCTATGCATATTGACAGTACTATGTGTTAGTTAGTACACTAAAGGACTGGGAGATAAACAGTTGAATGTCATATTATATATTCTACTACATACCCGAGCAAGATCTAGTTGTCTCACTTTGGCACTGACATCTTTAGCTAAAGCTGCTGTTTTATCCACCATATCTGATGCAGTCTGAGCATCGTTTTTCACCTCACCAAGTCTAGTGTACGCATGGCTGGCCGTCCGGAGACGGTCTTCAAGGTCACAGGCTCTCGATAGCACACCAGCTAATGCTTCATCTACCTCAGCCTAAAATTTAAAACGCTTTTAGTTTACAATTATTCGGCATCCTTACTAGTCGTAAACATAGGGAACAAAATTAACCTCTTCCTTTTCAATTTCACCAAGAGCCTTAGCCAACCCTTCTTCAGTGGATACGTCATATTCTTCTAGGAGAAGACTCAGAGACATATTTTTTACTTTTTGAACAGAAAACTTCTACACGATCGAAAACATACAAACAATGAATATTGACATTGACAACTAGCCAGCTGGATCACTCAATGCTGACAGTGACAGACTTGTCTTCTTCAATACCTAACATTCAACGTTCTAAAACACAGTTATAAGCTAAAAAAAATGTTGCCGTTCTAATACCATTTTCTAACTCAGATCACGACCTACGAAAGCAAAAGTGCGTGGGGCGTTTACGTTTCGTAGGAATATTTACGATATCGTCTATCAAAAAACTTTTTAAAGTTCTTGCGTCTGTCTCTATCAACATGATTCAATTTACAAAAGAAGGGCCACACACAGTAGCGAACTAATCCCGGCATCAGGCCCAACTGGTGCCCAACTTGATTTTGCTTTTACACCCCAAAGTCCGCCACTATCCACACGACAGACACTTAAAACGACTATAACAACTCGCTGGCGATCGTCTGGATGTGAAAACATCAATCGATGAATCACAAATGTGAACACTAGCAGCCGTCGTACCGTCATTCGTACGTAAATATTCATCGTCGATTAATAGTGTAAGAAAATAGATATTTGGAAGAAATTATTTGTTTAAATAAAGGAATATTCACATGAGGATTTTTGGTATTCCTTTTTTCTGTACTATTCAGAAAAATATGTATGTTGACCTGAACTTAACGGAAAGCGTAGTATTATATTAGCTTTAATAATAACATATTTGCTACAAAAGGAATACTGATGGATTCCTTATATGTTAAAGACAGTAAGTCGTTACCAAAGATTACAATATTATGTCGTTACGTTGGTATGATATCAATACACAACAAATCGCTACTTGTGTACCAGCTTAAGATTTGACATTTGTCCTAGAAATTCATTCAAAAACTATTATTAAATCGAGTTCACAAATCAGTAATTAGTAAAAAACAATTATAGTAATTTAAAGAAAATTTTATCCTCAAAATTTGAAAGCAACTACTGATGTATTTTTACACATCCATGGTTTTCAAATCTTTTCTATACATTTTATGGAAATTCATGTAAAACTTATGTTCAATGCTGCGTTTTTTTAATTTATTTTGTGCGTTCTGAACGTACACCGTAAAAATTCACCAGTAGACGAAAGTACAAGTGATGTCTGAGCAACAGTAAACATAAAAACTTCTGAGATTAGAAAATCGATGTGTCGTTAATTGTATATTTATTTGACTCCTCAGGGCGCGTAATCAGTGTTTTGCGCTCCTTGGAGGACAGGTTTCGTTGTACAAGGCAATAGTAATCGTCAAAGGTAAGAGCGAGGACGGGGTGTTGACATTTGCATAACTAATATTACTAAACAACTGTGGTTTGTGGAGTGCAGATGTATTGTGATGGTTCAGGTGTTTGTGACGGATTGCAGATTGACTCCGTGTGGGGCTGGGCTTCGCCCCCGCTGCGTTTGCAGCTGGGTAACGCGCGTGGGCACAAGAGGTGAGTGAACTGCACTGGTTTATCATATGGTTCTTGTCGTGAGGGTTCACTGAAATATTCGTAACATGTTTCTTTAGGGTCTCCTTCTGCTCAACAATAATTCTTAATCACTGACTTGATATCTTTGATTGAAATGATCAGTCGTTTCTAAAGTAATATTCTGCTGTTGTATTATTTTACCATCCATCCTGTATACCTTTGTATCATCATTAATTTTGTTACCAACTCCTGTAATTCTGTGAACTGATACAATTATTCCTATGTTATTATTATTTCTATTATTATTATTATTACTATTATTTCCACCTGTGACACATATTTTCAACATTTATTTTATGATAAATCTACTTTATTCATTGATTATTCTAAATTAGGAAAAAACTTCTCCAGGTTATGCTAAAACATGAGGAAAAAATATTTTAAATTCAGTAATGTTAACTTATTTACATATTGACCAAGTGTGAATGTATTTTCATTGTCATACTTATTTTAATCTAACTTTTGTCCAAGTGAGCCCATTTACAAAATTTGAAGGTCACTACAAACATTGTAACAGTTCAGTAAAGTTTTTATGATACTTAACTCGAGCTCATATTTAACTTTCAAATTAATGTAATAATGTATGTAACATACTAAATACTTCACCTGTTGAATAACAACATACTTTGCACATATTAAAATCACTACAGTTGAGTGGCTGGTATTAAAAGTGTTTGCTTATATTTATCATCTTACATTCTGTGTTTTTCAAAAATTTGAATATTGTGTGATATTAATAAATAAATACAAAATTGTTGATTTGTCTGCTTCTTTTAATCAAAATATAAAAACTTTCATGTTTTTGTTTTTATAAATTTACATTTACAATAGGCTTGTGTCCTACAAGTGAAAATATAGGTTTCTGTTATACACAGGGTTCGAAATTATCAAGATATTTATTTTGTGGACAATTATCGGAAAATAATGACCATTTTGACTCCTAAATGTATGACAAAGTGAATTTTATGACACTTATTTGGAAAATATTACACTTTAAAAACTTGAAATAAGTAGGCAAAATACAATATATTTATATAATTATATGTATTTCCTAAAATACAGATGGCATTAAATTAATTACATAAACTTGAGGACTTTCATTATGCAACTATAAACATAAATACAGAAATGACAAAAATATTACAAAGATTGCCCAGACACCCATAAATTTTTCACTACTTTAGCAGACATGCTGTTACTACTAAATTAGTTTTTCAGATTTGTAACTAATCTAATCTAACCAACATTGAATACTAAGTTCCTTCTACGTAGATAGTTACTTTCCTTTTTGTTACGATTTGATTGTAGTTTCCATGTGATTAATGATTACGTAGGATGGGTGAAGGCGGGTCGCCGGGCGGCGGCGCTCGGCTATCCCACACGTCCGAGAAGCACCCTCGTGCCATACTCGGCGAGTTATCAGCCCTGCGCCGCCACAGAGAGCTATGTGATGTGGTTCTCAATGTTGCCAACAGAAAGCTATTTGCTCACAGGTATGGAATAAAAACAATTGGTCAGCTTCGGACTCAGACTGCAATGGTTATAAAAAATTTTGACTATGACCAATTTTTTCATGGTGGAGCACATTTTGAGAAATGTGGGACTGCATGAATGTTAATCTTATGTTTCTAATTTTTTTTATGTTGTTATTCACACTGCACATACTGTATTGCACAGCATACTAAAGAAAAACAATTTGATTAGGTGTCAGAGAGAGAGGGAGAGAGAAAGAATATACAAGTGCAATAAATATAGTCAAAACACGATCTTCAAGCAGAATTTAAAGTGTAGTGCTCGCACGCATTCGTAATAATAGTAATGAATGACAGTTGATCCTATAGTGTTGGTTGAAAAATTGACCTGCTTATGCACGCTCCATTGGGTCGGATATGCGGAAAGAACGCTGGATAATGTTATGGTAAAACTGATATACCTATAAGAGGATGGATGTAAAAGCCACGGAAGGTTAGACAAACCTTGCATGCCGTTGAGAGCAATGAACATCGAGGAGGCGAAAAATGTATGTGTCTCTGTTTTGTGGCGTTCGGTAGCCCCTGCCTACTCCGCAAGGGTACGGCGTAACTATACAGATAGATAAGAGTTGGACTTGACTTCTGGCACAGGGTGATCCTGTCTGCATGCAGCCCGTACTTCCGCGCCATGTTCACGGGAGAGCTGGCGGAGTCACGCGCCACTGAGGTCACCATCCGGGACGTGGACGAGCAGGCGATGGAACAGCTCGTCGAATTCTGCTACACCGCACATATCGTAGTCGAGGAGAGCAACGTTCAGGTGAATTATTCATACTGCTTAAACTATTGTGGTTCTAATGTAATGGTGGGCAAATGGGCAAAGGTGGTCTTATCGCAAAAAGCGGAGCAGGTCAATTCTGATAATAACTTAACAATTATATCTCGACTACTTGCAGTTTGCCATTGTACTATCTTCCGGAAGTCCAAAATTGTCACCGTTGATGTGTGAGGAAGACATTGCACTATAATATTTTTCTTCAAGTAGATAATACAATGGTAAAATGCTATTGTGGTTCTATTGAGATGTGATTATTACTTAAACGTCAGCAGTATTGGCCTGCGGTGGCAGTGTGCCAACATTGGAAAAAGAATGAAAAAAACTAGATGAAATAATAAATCTTTTCTGGATAGTACTCTAATGGTGGGATCAGGAGTAGCACAGAGAGGGTTGCTCAGTGACATTGTGGGTGTAATTCTTCAAACTCTCGATTTTATTAGCAAAGAATATAAATCAAATCACTTATAAGTAATTTCTAAGATACTGACTCTATGCCGGTCTCCATCAGAAACACTACTACGTTTAAAAAAAAAACTTTTGTAAGTATTATTATTTTATATTAAATCAGTTTTGCAACTAGAATTAAAAATGTCTGTAGTAATTGTCAACGGTCAAACAAGCGGTCAGTCAAGCGAGTGGTTTTACTCCTTTTAATCATTTATCTTTAATATTATGTATGATTCCTGTTTTATATAATAGGCGTTACGACTAAATTTTGTTTGTTTGTCCAGGCGTTGCTCCCGGCGGCGTGCCTTTTGCAGCTGCAGGAGATCCAGGACGTTTGCTGCGAGTTCCTCAAGCGTCAGCTGGACTGCTCCAACTGTCTCGGTATCAGGGCATTCGCCGATACTCACTCCTGCCGGGAGTTACTCCGTATCGCAGACAAATTCACACAACAAAACTTTCCTGAGGTAAGTTAAGTAAATATTAATTATATTACTAAAACAACCATTAATTTGTATCCAGCTAGCTCATTATATTCTACTAAACAATTTCTTCTGTTCGATACGCCTATGTTATTTTGTAAAGTTTTATATTATCTAAAATTTGAAGGCACAATATTACATTGCATATTTTAATTTGTCCTAATTATACTGATTCATAATTTTTTAAGCATAATTACTCTACCTATGATAACGTTTAAGCAAAATCGGACAGCATACATTCAATAATTTGTATATGGTTTTTTCAAGTCTAGTATTTAGTTATTGAAAATTTTACCAAAAACCATTATGCCGAACCATATTGGGAATAAAAAAATATACGAAAAGAAAAGATTTAATTTAATAGATGAAAAACCAAATTATTATATTTATTTAATGTGTGAAGAAAAATTTCTGTTTAAACCCTCAATATTAAACCAACAACAAATACCAACCAGTTGTACGCTTCCAGGTGATGGAAAGCGAAGAGTTCCTCCTGCTGCCGGCGGCGCAGCTGATCGATATAGTGTCCAGTGACGAGCTGAACGTCCGCTCCGAGGAGCAAACCTTCCAGGCCGTCATGTCCTGGGTCAAGTACAACGTGGCCGAGCGGCGGCAGCATCTGGCGCAGGTAATGGGATTCTAATGTCTATTGCATTTAATTATTTTCACTTGTTAAGAGGAATCATGACATTTTTTTCTTCTTTTTGTCCGTCAGGTAGAATATAGGAAAATACTAAATACATAAATAACTTAAAGTTGAAATATTAGGTGCTTCTTGCATCAATTTTAGCTTTAATTATCTAAGTGATGATTTGTTTATTATTGATAAAAAATATTGAAAAAAATACGTGTTCAATATTTTACTATTATCTAACTGACAGAATAGTTTTTTTTTTTAACCAGGCATTATCCATATTGATAGTTGTTTAAGAGCACTTTTTTTCTAAAAAATAGCTCATCACTTTGAAATTTATTTGAGATTTACAGGCGAGAAATGAAGAAATTTTATTGTCTTGCCTTTTGTTAAAATTTACAAGTGTGTCAAGGGTGGAGTTTAAAATCTTCCGAAGATTCCAACGGGATTTTTTTCATTATGCGAAACATAAGAATGTCATGGTCAGACTCGGTATTTTATAATGAAATCGAGGCCCGGGCCCGAAAATTCAGTTTCGCACTCGACTCTACCGGGACAACTTAGATGTAACGCGACCGGGGATCGCACCGGAGGGTTCAATCGGATATGCGGCAGGTGCTGCAACACGTGCGGCTGCCGCTGCTGAGCCCCAAGTTCCTGGTGGGCACGGTGTCCTCGGAGCTGCTGATCCGCTCCGACGACGCCTGCCGCGACCTGCTGGACGAGGCCAAGAACTACCTGCTGCTGCCCCAGGAGCGGCCGCTCATGCAGGGCCCGCGCACCAGGCCCAGGAAACCCACCAGAAGAGGTAAAACGTGTATTTCGAGGAGAATGTACCGAATTTTGCCAAAGAAATAGATAAGTCGAAAAAGTATGCGGTAGGAAAGTTATTTTAGCAATGTGATCAAGTCAGGCGGACCCCAGGAAGGAGAAACTTTTGTTACGAATTTGGCTAGGTTTTATGAAGCAGATTAGATTGTTTTTATAATATGCCAACTGGGCGAAGGATCGTTCCGTTACTACAAAGAAGTCAGTGTCGCGATGTGTGATGTGTCACGTGTGTCACAGGCGAGGTGCTGTTCGCGGTGGGCGGGTGGTGCTCGGGCGACGCCATCGCGTCGGTGGAGCGGTTCGACCCGGCCAGCGCCGAGTGGAAGATGGTGGCGCCCATGTCCAAGCGGCGCTGCGGCGTGGGCGTGGCCGTGCTGCACGACCTGCTGTACGCGGTGGGCGGCCACGACGGCCAGAGCTACCTCAACAGCATCGAGCGCTACGACCCGCAGACCAACCAGTGGTGCGGCGCCGTGGCGCCCACCTCCTCGTGCCGCACCTCCGTGGGCGTGGCCGTGCTGGACGGCGCGCTGTACGCGGTGGGCGGCCAGGACGGCGTGCAGTGCCTCAACCACGTCGAGCGGTACGACCCCAAGGAGAACCGCTGGAGCAAGGTGGCCGCCATGACGACGCGGCGGCTGGGCGTGGCCGTGGCCGTGCTGGGCGGGCAGCTGTACGCGGTGGGCGGGTCGGACGGGCAGGCGCCGCTGAGCTCCGTGGAGCGCTACTGCCCGCGCGCCAACCGCTGGCAGCCCGTGGCCGCGATGGCCACGCGCCGCAAGCACCTGGGCGCCGCCGTCTACGACAACCACATCTACGCCGTCGGCGGCCGCGACGACTGCACCGAGCTGTCCTCCGCCGAGAGGTATTTTATGCACTATTTAATAATTATTTTCAAAACGAAAACGAAAAATATTTTCAACCAATATCATCATCGTAGTAAAATATATTTATCCTTTTTTGAATCAGAGACATATTCCCTATTGTTTTTATATTAACCGTTGATAAAATTAATAAATAAAAAGAAACTTTTTTATTTATTATTAGAACGAACATATTGCTTGTTTGATGTCATTCAGCCCCTAAGCATATTTTCAATGTACCGTATTTTCTTACACTTTTTAATAATTTGCTTTCAAATAAAAACGAAATTATGTTGATAATTATTTACATAGCCCGTATTCTGAAGCGGTTTCCGCAAGCACTTTCCGTATGACAAAAAAAAAATCAAACGAAGCAGTCTTCTATTTGAAATATATTGCAATATTAAATAGTTTATGCATCTAACGCAATATTAACTCCTAGTAATAATTATATATAGTTATTTTTTTCTTACTTGAGATGAATTGTAAACAAACAACTATCGAACACAAATCACGAGCTAACATAAATATGGTCCAATTTAAGCTTTTATAACCACTTACGTACACTAGTTTGTACATTACCACATAAATTTCCACTGAAAATAGCTTGAAACCATCTTTAAAAATAACATCCAAACTCATAAATCTGACAATGTCAATAATCACAGACTAAGACGTGTAAGTTTGACATTTCTTGGAGTAATCATTAAATGAATGAAAGAATAATTTGAAATGATGACAAATTTATGTAGGTTTGAAATAAACTAATATTTAAAGATTTCTTTTACCACAGTTATGTTCTCTTTTGTTTGTGGCAATACTAGTATTTTTTTGTGATTAACTAGTGTTGTTTTAGATAACTATTCATTTAATTTTCATTTAAAGTTGTAATCAGGGATAATTACAGCCATATATCAAGTTAAAATGTTACATCACGCTTTTGTAGTTTTCTATAAACTTTAATGCTCGTCTTATGTCTTTCTTAGTTATTTCTTGTTAAAGTGAAGCAAAAAATACGTACCTATCCAATATTTTTAAGTGGAATCATTGCTAGGTTGTTCATAAGGTTTATCATTACTTTTGTAAATTTATCATAAACTCAAAATCAGTATCAAAATATTGCATATATTCAGTTTGTTTCTTTATTACATTACTAGTGGCCGCCAGCGACTTTGTCCGCGTTTTCCATTATTTCTTCGCTCCTTATAGTTGCAGCGTGATGTTATATAGCCTAAAGACCTCCTCGATAAATGGTCTATTCAACACAAAAATAATTTTTCAATTCCTGAGATTAGCGCGTACAAACAAACAAACAAACAAACAAACTCTTCAGCTTTATAATATTAGTAGAGATTATATAAATTATATAAAAATGAGGCCTTTAATTTATTTTATTTTGCTTTTGTAGATTCATTCTAGACACATATCTTTACAGAAAACACATATTTGATAGTTGTTTTAAGATGATTTCCTTTTAATAAGAAGTCCTAAAGTACAAAAAGTTATAATTTTGTGTAGTGGTTTATCATTATTTAGATAATTATCGAGGTATATTATCACGACAGTTATCACTCCGAACCTTGTTAAAAAAAAATACATATTGGCTAGGAAGTCGCCGTCGCCGTTTGCCCTATGTTTCTTACTGTAATAAAAATATTTTTAAACCCTATTAAAATAGAATTACCGAAACTACGGGAAGTCCCACGCAGATATAATATTTAACAACGTTAGAAAGAAAAAGTAAGAAATATATATACGTAATAAATAAATATTTAAAGAAATATAATACTTAACAAGACAAAAGTGATACTTATTATCATTGTTTATATTTTATCTAAATCGTCAACTCGTCAGCATTGTTCACAGGCAATCATTCAGTAGATGATTAATGACATAATTGAGTGTGATCCGTCGTGTGTATCGCGTGCAGATACGAGCCGAGCACGGACTCGTGGTCGCCGGTGGTGGCGATGACGTCACGCCGCAGCGGCGTGGGCCTGGCCGTGGTCAACGGGCAGCTGTACGCCGTGGGCGGGTTCGACGGCACCGCCTATCTCAAGTCCATAGAGGTATTAACCGGTCACGAAATTCATTTTTGTTGTTAAATGGCGTCTTTATGGTTTGAACATATAGACAGCATTTGATAATTGTCCGATACACTATTCTATTGTACCACTATGTAAATTAAATAAAAAAAGTGTTGGGATTGTCTTAACAATAACTATTTTGTAGTTCCATGCTATAATAGTAGATTTTTGTCATTTATTTAAATACAGAATTAAAAACGCCGAAAAACAAAATGGGGAGGGGAATGGGGATTTTTGCAAGCTTACAAATCGGGGCGCAGGCCTATATAGATGGAATCGAATAAGGCGAATGGGTAATGACCCATTGCGTTTTGATCGGTGTTAACGTCCAGATGCGGCTAGCGATACCGCATCCGCTGCCTTATAGCTCAGTTTGGGCGGTCGGTATGACGTCACCGCCCGCCCGCCCCCGTGCACCCGCGTGGGCGGGGCGGGGCGGGGCGGGCGGTGACGTCACCGTGTGCTATTGTGGCGGCAGGTGTACGACCCGGAATCGAACCAGTGGCGGCTGTGCGGCGCCATGAACTACCGGCGGCTCGGCGGCGGCGTGGGCGTCATGCGCGCGCCGCACCACGACTACCACTACATATGGTACACCCACACAGCCCGCTACCATCCCCACTCCCATTCCCACATACCACTCGTCAAAGCTTCGACATCACTATTAAAGAATATCACTATTCATACAGTTTAGTCGTACAACTGACCGTCAGGATTCGGGATAGAAAATTAACGCCGATTAAATTCACGCTACGCCTCTTTATATAATCGATGGAATGAGGAAGTATTTAAAAAAAAACATTAGTTCCCGAAACCAAACTAGATGTCGCCACGGTACGGTCTTGATTTCTCCACCATAACCATTCCGGTTTTCTTTCATGTTTAAAAGTGAATTAGTTTTCAAAACTTAATAAACAACTCATATTCTATTTGTACTTTTTCGTATTTGTACTTCGTATTTGTATTAATATCTAAGTTTCGAACTTTTCAAATTTCAGTTGTTTAATATGTTAGTTAAAAGGAACGGAAATTACTGTCTTTGGTCCATTCGTTTTCTGCAAATATCAACTTTTGCTAGAGCCGCCATCTAGACGAGGTGCTTTCGTTTTTTTTAAATACTTCCTCATAAAAAAAAATAAACATGAACAATACGCACACTTGAATTTCTCTGTTCACGTCCCTCCGGTCCCTTCTCGACGCTCCTCGATTGTCCCGACAGTACCCTTCGCTAGTTTTCTTTTCGCTTGTACTCGCTCACGGTTTCCGTTCTCTAGTCACTGAAAGCGCACCGCGCACTTATATGCGCCTATTTCTGCGTTTAGAATGTTCTAGGTCGAGACCTAGAACGTTGTAGGTTGGCCTCGGCCCTGCCGGTGTATTCGACGCGTTACCGAAAGACAGCGGAGCATAACGCCATCTAGTAACGAGTAGACGAAACGCGCTCCGTAACAATATTTATTCATTCATTTTTGATACTCAAAACAGATTACGAATTATTAATATCTTCAATCTGAATTGCGATCTCCGAACTCATGGACGCTGCATGCATTAAATTGAGTCTCTTTATTCATTAAAGATTCTAAAAACGCTAATAATCTAAATATCTTATATCGAGTGATTAGACTTCACACATACAGACGTAAAGATAGCAAGATTATAACAACACAGTTTGGCACTACTCGTTCCCGCTCGCGATTCAGCCGGTTGTCAGTTTATATAGTAGCTCCATTCACATGCCGTTGAAAGCCGCAAAAAAGTGTCTGTCTGTCTAGTGGTGACTTCCGAACGAATCATATTTTAATATAATTTTATTAAATCATCGACACGCACTGGTATCTTTAGTCTAGTACGAGTGATCACTTGGTTATAAATAATAACGTAAAGAAATATTTTCAACCAATACTTTTGAGAATTCTTAATTCATTTAAATTCTGGTATTGGTTAAAATACAAGTGGAACTCTGCAACTGATATCATGAAAGACGTTATGTTTTTTATGAATTGTGATAATTAGTTGTATGTTTTCATTAATATTTGAGATTCAATTAATTTGGCGTATATCGCTATATGTTTACATTTATGTATGTACATACACGGTACACGGGCGTGACAGGGAAAAAAGGCAGCCCTTGCCGAGTTTCTTGCCGGTTCTTCTCGGTACAAGGTCTCCCGTCAAAGATTTACGAACCGATGGTGTAGCTCTCGACTCTCACAAGTGCTTGTAACAGCCTAGACTGAATAAATAATTTTGATTTGATTTGAAGTTATTCTTCCGCCATGTTGATAAAGTGTTTTGTTGCAGGAACCGCAAAGACTCGGTGGTGTAGGTATCGCCCCTCCCACCCCCCCCTACAAAGTTAAGCCGTTACTCATTTTATTTTATTTTATTGTTAAAGTATATACATACTAATTGACTATTTATAAATAAATGAAAATACAAATTTTAGAATATAAACTGTATTTTATTTCTAAAAAAAAAGACTCGATGAAGCCCTATCGTTGAAATAAGCAGTAATTTTATGATATATGATTTAAATTTTGCCGAATCCTCATATTAGGCGTGTGGTCTAATTTTTGTCGTCAGTTGAGTTGAAATTTACATGTACGCCATGCACGTTTATATTAAAAAAGGCATACTGTAAGTGTTGTATTGCGGCGTACGAGCGACAAGGGCAGGTTTGTATTTTAATTGATCGATAATCAACAATAAATTAGATTATTAAAGAGTCTGGTATCGAAATCGACAATAAAATTGCCTGTCCGGAATCTGGGAGATTGAAGGACAGTTTCGGCTTCTAAAGCGCAGGAGCATGTACAAAACAAGTGATTATAATATGTAGTTTAAGATTGGCATTATCTTATTTTATTCTTATTATAACACGGCCGCTTTGTACTTTGATCGCTACCTACATTTCTAGCAATACATTGATTGACGGTATGTCGCCGTGCAACTTAATTATTAATTACACTTTCGGTAGTGTTTTAATAAAAGCCTTGACATAAACTCATCTCGCATTTTTTTTTAAATTCTTTTCGACATTCATTTGCATTGACTTTTAAAACTAACATAGTTTTTGGTCCTTCGAGCCGGATGACAATACGTTTTTAATGTTTATTTATTTTTATTGCATTTTACAATGTAGTATTAATATGTTTATAATAAACAAAAGTATAATTATGGACCCCGTCGGGCACCGCAAATTTTTAGAGAGAGGAGGACACTGTGCTTTAAAATGTAGGTATTAAGTATTTCCTTTCTTAAGCGCTAGGTTGTTACTCGCCCACTTTCCGACGGTGACGCCGGCACCTTTCATAACATAAATGATTTTGTAATGATACACAATTTTTGAAAATAATTAAAAATAAATTTAAGAGAATTAATGTCAAATTTTGATTGTGTATATTCATATTCGAAACATTTTTGATACTTTGTTACCTTACTAGGTATGAAATTATCGTAAGTAATTTAATAAAAATGCATTTCTATCTCTTTATATATGTATTTTATTTTCAATTTACAATATCATTCTTAAATAAGAGACTACTAGTCGATGATATAAACGCGCACACAAGTTTAGTGATGCGACATTATGAATACGAATATCCGTATTCACTGAATATTTATATCCGTCGAATGTCTTCATCAATATATAAAACTGAACATACGCAAATTACGGTTCGGCTATGCGCTGTTTATACGCATCTACGAACTATAGGCAATAATTTCTTATAGTTTGTTAATTCTTCTAGTATGTACCATATCGTCACTATAAACTAGTATTACATCACTAGTTTATATACAGATTATTTTACAAACGCATGTTGTTCGTATTCCGGAGTGTACAACGTAGTACAAGCAAGTCGCATATGGCAGTTTAAACAGTGTACGAGTTTCGCACCCAGTTTTACAAACTTTCATAAAAAATATCATTAGCTTAAACCGACATTACCGATGCTAATATTTAAATTTATATCATTTATTAGAGCTAAAAGTTTCATCAAACCTTAATGGACGTTTGTGTGACTGGGTTTATGTAGTATATAATACAGGAATATTTTTTTTCCAGTGCAAAAATTTTTTTTGGTGATTCAGTATCAGTAATAGAACACTTACAGCCGGACTCTATTCGTACCACTTTCAGCCGGTTCAGCAGTTCCATGACCTAGACCCAGTACCACGTCGAGCCTTATGTGAGTGGCTTCTACATCACCGCGATGCAAACATCTTGTGGACGGATGAGGCATTGTTCACAAGTGAGGGACTGTTTCTTATGGGAAGAAGTCAAACGCCGGGATGTTGAGGAGGCACAAAGTCTAGAAGACTTAACAATAAAAAATAATAACGCTTTCAGTGAAGTGAAAAGTGACACTAGTGTTTTAAATAAATTAAATGACAATTTAATGAAATGTGCTCGTTTATGTCTGGACCGATTGATTGATTGAATATTCTTTATTGCACTATGAAATACAGTAAGAAAGGTACATAAAACTAGATTCAGTAACACAAAAGGCGGCCTTATTGCTAAGGTAGCAATCTCTACCAGACGTAGACTTCATTTTGAACAAATATTAAAATACATGGTAAGTAATTAGTTAGGTGTTTGTTTTGATTCAACATTATTGTAAATACGTAGTTGATTTCAATTTTTTTAAATACGCCTGAACGCAGAAGTACCTATGTAATTTCGGCATAACGTTAATATTTTTTTCTAGATAACGAATTTGTTTCTCTTTTATTTTTTTGGCATTTTGATGGCCTTAACAATCAAAGTATGGCCATCAAAATGCCAAATCACAATCAAGGGAAAATTGGAATTACTCTTAGAAATCACCTCAGATCATGGCATAAAATCTAGTTTGAATCTAACAAAATGAGCGGTCAGTGACCCGTGTAGATAGGTACCTACGAGTACATGCCTACGGCGTCGAGCGAGAGCGCTCAGCTGACGCACGGCGCGCGGTGTCCATAAATTAAGTTTTAAAATCTCGATCTTTGATAAGCGATAACTTTATTTTTTAGTATTAGAACATATCAAAATAAAAAATACGTGTTTATTTAAATTACTTAAAGTTTATTTTCACAAAATCTTCGCAGTGGTTTTAAATTATTCCTGTATATACTTTTACATCAATAACCTTAGATGTAGATATAGCTATCGCAGAAGTACTGTCACCGCACGTGTGCTATTTGAATTAAAAAAAGAGTTTGACCGCTCTTATTGTTGGGTGTGCCTACACTCTTATGTCTTTTCGTCGATCCCCCCCCCCGTGTGACGTAATTTATGGATGGCCCCTAAGGGAGTGTGTTAGAATCAGTTGGGCGGTGGCGAGGTGGCCTTGTCCGCGGTGGGGTCCTCGCTGTCGTCGTCGGGGTCGGGGTCCGGGTCGGCGTCGGCGTCGGGGTCGGGGTCGGGGTCGGAGGAGGGCGCGGCCTCGGACGCCTCGTGCTCCGACACCTCGGATAATGGCGGCGCCTCTGTAGACTCACTCGGACCCTCTTTGGTCTCGTGACGCTTCTGTAAACATTTTGTCAAATATAAATAATTAGCGTTCCGTTCGCACCCCGCCTGGTTGCGATTATTATCCCCTTCCGTATTTTCATCCCACCTTTAAGCCTATTTTTATCTACCCATAGCGTGGGGTATCGTTGGATAGATCTTTCAAAAATATTAGGGGTGTGTTGAGACTGTTTTTCGATTTTGTTAATCGTTCGTGACTTATTAAGCTTCAAAGTGTCAATTTTCGTTAGATTTAAATATTCCCCCACCCCCCACTCTACCAACTAAACGGTTGTTGTTAGAAACTGAAACGTTTCAGCAGCAGTATATTTAATTGTATATAAAGGTGGAAGCTTTCTGGCAGATTATTAATTTAAATTAGTTTAAGACTCAAATGTAGCATGCCAGTGTGCACACAGTACCCTCAGACCACGTGGGCGAAGCCGCGGGTTACAGATAATTAAATTATAAAAAATATATAAAACTTAACCTTGACTAAACAGTGTGATGTAGAAATCTATTGAACGCCATCTAGTATAACATAAAATATATAGTTCCTATTGTATTTAAAATAATTCCTAAACTATCCAAATATCAATTTTCATCAATATAGGTTCAATAACAAAGAAGTTTCAAACGTTTTTATCCTTTTTGACCCCCTTTAGTTTGAAATCCGTTATTCGTCTTATCACATAGACGTAAACTACGTATAAGTTTACGTCTATGTGATAAGACAAATGCATCTTCCAAACTTCAAGTCTCTACGACTGTGACTACTCTGCGTTGGCTGTCAGTCAGTATGTCAGGACATCTCCTTTTATATATGTGTATAGAACTAGATCGAAGCTGGTCGAGAACTGCAAACAAACATTGAACTCTTTGGGCAACAAAAACAAAGTAGTTCTACGATGGGTTCCAGGTCACGCTGGACACGAGGGCAATGAACAGGCGGACAAACTGGCGAAGAAGGGTGCTAAAGACGCCCTTATCGGACCAGAACCTTTCTGTGGCATCCCTCAAAGCCTAACCCAGCTCATCTTGAAAACATACTGCCATTACGCAGCTATTCAACTATGGAGAAACACTCCCGGTATGAAACACTCTAAGGCCCTGATTAAAACCTTCAACAAAAAGGCGGCATCAGAGGCCTTAAACTTAACCAAAAATCACCTTCGCACACTAGTACGAGCACTCACGGGACATTGTGGACTGAACAGACACATGTCACATGTCAGATAATGGGGATCAGCGGCAGCAGAATGTGCAGAGGATGCAAGGAGGAGGAGGAAACACCTTTGCACATTTTGACCGATTGCCCGTCACTAATGCGAAAACGATGTATCTATCTGGGAAAGCACGTGATGCACCCAGACGATATTAAAGAACTTACGGCCAAGAAAATACTAAAGTTTCTTGTAGAATGTAATCTTGACCGTGAACTGTAGTATGTGGAGATCACAATAGATCAGCAATCGTCGCAGTGATACTGGGCTGCATAAACCCAAGATAATCCGCAACTCGAAACAATAACAACAATATGTGTATAGATGTAGATAACATATTACAAGCATCTCTCTTTTCCGAAATGTAGTACTTAAAGCCCTTGAATTGTGGAAAACTGAAATAACAAAGGTAAGAAATAGAAAAAATAATTTTCAAGAGATGGCAACACATCGAGTCACTAGGCTAGAGGTAAAAAAATTGTCATAAACGTTCGTTTACCTTCCGTTTCTTCTTGGAGCGTGTCTTGGTAGGCTTGTCTGGCTCGCTGTACCCGGGCGGGAAGAACCTGGAGCATTCCTTCCTCCCCTCCACTGCATCAGTGGATACGTGCAGCGGCCCTAGCGCCGTCAGTTGCACGGGGGTTCCCCAACCCCCAGCCGGCGTCTCGTCGCTAGGGTCAGCTAGTTCAGGCTCCGCCAGGCCCACGGCTATCATCAGGACTATTGTCTCACAGCTAGGGTTTAAAGAGTGAATTAAGCTAATATAAACTATTTTTATTAGACAATATCACTTACGATTTATTGCATAAGGGCGCAAAATTTGAAAGTACGTATTAATGAAATGCATAACAGACGCTTAAAAAACCAGAAGTCGCATGCTGATGCGTTTGTAACAAACTATTCCGGAGCATTTCGACGAAGTCAACTGGTTAGTTAAACCATCCACTTACTAGTCCTTCTCCGGTCTTTCATCGTATTGGGCTACGGTCTTGCACAGTAGTTTCGGCTCATCTAAATTGGTGTCGGCGAAGAACCCGTATCTGAGTAGCCGTGAGGAGTGCGGCTCACAGGCGGCGAGTACCGCGCGCCGCTGCCACGCACCGAACATGACAGCGATGTGGGGCGCCTCCACCGCCGCCGGGGGCTCCACCACCGCCCCGACCATCTGTCCACATGCCAACACTATCGTTATCACGGTCTATGTAACTCTTAGACGGCCGACGGACACGTCTAGACGTAGCATTCGAACGAAATCAATATCCATTCACTCGCTTGGTGCACCTCGTCGGTCGTGATTGACATATTTTATTTGAATCAAATCAAAATCGGTACCGTGGCTTTTATTCAAATCTCTACTATTATCTAGCAAAGGTACCTTAGGGAATAACACATCTAATGCGGCAGCTCTCTGATGCCTGTCCGCGGGGACGAACAATCCGGGAACGGAATCTGCCTTTAGTTCCTCGTAGAGAGTCTTCTTAAGAGCCTCTTCATCTTCACCGTCGCCGCATAGAGCTGTACGGACTAACTCTGCGAACAATATGATTATACTTACGATTACATATATGTAAAGGCGTCATCGTTACCAGGCTCTAATAAAGGGTATGGGATATAGATGACTGAGAGCTTAGGAGGAAAGGCTTTTTTACACGATGTATTTTTGAAAATCGCACTACATTTATTGGGTATTTTTATAGAAAGTCTTGACTAAAATTATTCTGTAAGCAAATAAGTACAAAAAAATTATAACAGATAAAAAATTTAGTTATTCATAAGAGTATAAATAACATTGATTAACTTACCAATAATACTGCCATCTTTCTCTGGCATCTTTTTCAGCAGGAGAGTGAGCGCTGGCCGTTCACTCAACACCGTGATCGCAGCTGCAGAGTTTAATTCTGGGTCTTCTAGAGCTAGCCTCTTCGCTCCATCTTTGCCCAATAAAAGAGGGCATTTATCTGCCACTACCAAACCTGAAACAAAGCATTATCTTTTGTGAAGTCTATAAGTTTTTGCTTCTAATTTCGTCGATTGAAACTAGTAATTTATAGAAATATTTAATTTGGAACGAAGGCAGGCTGTCAGTTATCAAAAACTTCGTTATGTCAGGAGTTTTGTATTTATTTTTATTAATTATGGCAATGTATATATATTATTCCACAGGAACCGCTAAAATCTATAGCTAATCCCAGTAGTTTGATTTGAAATAGAGTTTGGGTAATAAGGTACCAAAATAGCTCACCGTTTTGTTCCAAAGCGTCTGAAACCTTCCTGAGCATTTTTTGCGCGTGAGGCAGCATGAGCACGGGGCACACGTCAGCGAAGTATGTTTCGAGGCGTGTAGCGCGTGCCTCGCGTCGCGCAAGCCTCGCCTCCTCCAGCGCCGCCGCCTCGCGCGCTATGCGCTCTTGACGAAGTTTTTCTTGCGCGTTTGCTACCTCCTGAGAGAATGAGTAAAAGTCAAAAAGTGTTCAGAATATGCAGCTGGATTTGGATTCTTTAAGCATATGGTGTGAGTTGAATGGGCTCAATATTAATATAAACAAATGCAACCATATCAAATTCACGAGGAAAACAAGGAATGTAATTTCATCAAGATATTTAATTGATAAAACGAACATTAACGAGACTGAAACAGTTAGGGATCTTGGGGTGCTCTTGGACAGTAAACTCACATTTGTTCAACATATTGAGGAGACGATAAAAAAGTCTTCTAGAATGTTAGGGTTTATTATACGAAATACAAAGAGCTTTCGAAATGTTAAAACGAAATTAATATTATATAACAGTCTTGTTAGAAGTATTTTGGAATACGCTAGTGTGGTGTGGCGGCCTCATTATTCAACACACTTACTACGGATTGAGCGTATTCAAAAGAGGTTTGTAAGAAGCCTGGCATTCACGGTGGGTTTGGGTAAACGTACAGTAAGTTACAACACTAGACTAACACATTTTGAAATGGCAACTTTAGAGAAACGGAGACAAAATTCCGATATGGTTTTTCTTTATAAATTATTGAACCACCAAATCGATTGCCCTTTTTTATTAAGTAGAATTAGATTTCGGGTGCCAGTTAGATATCCACGTAAACCAATCGCACCTCTCTCTCCACCTTTTCGTCATACCAAGGCAGGCTCAAATTCCGCAATTTCTCGAGTGTGTAAAATATATAATAACTGCTGCAGTGATGACATGGACGTCCACGCTATGAGCTTGAGAAAATTTAAGTTGCAAATCAACAGTCGAGATGTTTAGTTTCTTTTTTTAGTAATCTTAGTTGTGCTGTTATTATACATTATTATTAATTAACGTCAATTTTCATGCATGCTGTGTTTGCCTTTATATAACAAATACATTTATATTTAGTCATAAGATGTTCCATAGACGATAGAAATAATGTTATTTGTTTCTGGTAAACCTAAATAAATAAATAAATAAAGTCGAATGGCTAAAGTATACTAATTAATTGGGTGGCCCCCAAACAGGTGGTCCGACTTTTGTAGCGCAAGACCTTATTAAGATTTTATTATGATATTTAATTGAATAATTGCAGAGTATGTAGTATTTTTCAACCACACATAATTTTCATTAGGAACAGACAGTCTTTGCTGACATATTTACATCTTTGAATGTATTCTTATAATTAGTATTGGGAATATTATTAATTGCCTAATTACGTTTTGCATAATATTAAGAACTAAGTGTATCCAATTGTCGAAGTACATTATAAAGATGTTAAGACTTAAAGCGGCAGACTTAATTCATGAGCTCCCTTTAGAGAGATCAAAAGGAACAAAGCAAAAGTGGGCACAATATGGCATGAAAATATATAAGAATATCTACTATATTGTTGATACCTGTTCCGGTGGTGTGAGTTCGTGAGGTGCCCTCTGTGGCCGTTGGAGCTCGCCCTTCTTGGCCAGCTCCTCGTTTCGTAGTTCCTGCTCTATGGTCCTCGTCAAGCGAGGTGCATCCGCACCGAATACCACGTTCAGAAGTTGTCCGGACTGTACAGTATGATATAGTCAGGTATTAATGATAAATCAGTATTCAAGTGTCTAATATTTCGCGTGTATTTTATGTAAGTAACAAGGTAATTCGTTTTTGGGAATAAAATAAGTTAACATTAGGTTAACATTAAGTTAACATTACTTCCATGTCCCTTGCCTCTTGTTAAGTATCTGACCGCTGTTGTAAGCGTGATGATCCGGAATATCGCGCATTCCATAATAAAAACAAGATAATAATAATAATCTCATAAATTATTTAATAGTAAGTAGTTAAAAACAATATCTTAGTTAAAATATTTACCATGGTTTAATATTATGATTGAATAATGCTATTCTATCAATATTCCATGGTCTTAGTTCGGTGGTTTTTATAAAAAAATCTTTTCACCGTGACAAGTATATTCTTTCAGTGGTGTTTAATCGATACCGTCCACCACCGTGCCATCCCACCACATTTCTACACATATGAGTTCTATCTTCTTCACACGCTATATATTATTTCTTAGATATCAAAAGAAACTTTACAATGTAGGCAGCTAGGTCGGTTTTCATTTGCAAAACATCATTGGGTTGATTGCTTTACGACAGGTGTGGAAAGCTCGAAACTACAGCGAGTTAACTGTTGCCTCGATGACGGGCTCTATCTGGTTGAAATGTTATGTGTCATTATTTATGGCCGTTTCTTCTGTATAACTACTTACGACTACTCATTTTATTAACCGAATTCAAAGTCCAAAAGGAGGAGGTTATATGTTCAACGTTGATATATATTTTCAGCGACATTTCCGCCAATCGTTCACCGATTTTTTAAATTCATTTTTTATTTGACAGCTTAATCGACCGATGTGGCCCCGTTTAAATTTTATCTAAATCAAATGAGTAGTTATTCTTTTATAACAAAACAAAATACACTTTTCACCAGATATCACCTAATATTTAGTTAGATGATATGTATTGTATTTCATGTATCTCAGCTAAAAAACAAAAGATGGCGTATATTGAATTCATTCAAAATCCTTTCTATGTTCAAGGAGTATGATTATTTTTTAATGAAAGTATGTATTCAATTGGTTTCCTCTTGAATTGTGAACCAATTTCTACCTTAAACTGCGACTTAGCCTGCGTAAATTATATGTCCAACGCGTATTATGTAGCTTGCCGTAGAGCCCATCCAATGCAAACAAACAAGTAATCAAATCGTTCATCTTTATAATATGAGTATGGAATTATTGGAAAAAAATATGTTCAGTGAAAAACAAAATCTTCTTTTCTAAGAATTTCACTTTGTTGAATTTTTTTTATATAGATATACATCTATACTACTATTATAAAGAGGAATGATTTGATCATTTGTTTTTTGCCGCTAATAGGCTCTGAAACTACAGAGCTGATTAAAATTTTGTTTTTCCTACGAGAAGCTACATCATACGTGGTGAACATAGGTTATATTTGATACCGAAAAACAGCAAAAATTAAAAGTATTATTTATCGTAGGTACCACAGTAGCTACATATGTGCTGAGCTGGAACCGTTGTGAGACAAAAAAGTCCATCTAAACGTGACTCTGTTTATTACGTTTACTTAGCCCAAAATAAATAGATTTTATTTATTAATTAAAATATGAGCTGAACCCGCTAACTTCATTTTCTAAATAAAATACTAACTGACAATGTAACAATGTAAAAAGGGTTAGTTTTCTAGTTGACCCATCATCCGCCCAGCAATCAAACAGAAAAGCTTGGACAATTACCGCAATGAACATCCACGTAGGCTCGCTCCGTTTCCTGAATCTTTTCAGACATTCGATTGTATCTGACTTTGCCTGTGAAACAAGAATGTTACAAAATTTTACTTCACAAAAATAATGTAACATAAGTGATAGAGTTTACGTGTATCTGTGGTAAATGACATTTTGTTATCCAACCATTAAATTCTATGATCTTTTAAAAAGAAACTCTAAAACGCAAACTATTACGATTATTGTAAAATTTCTTATTACACCCAAAGTAAAATTACACAATTCATCAATTATAAGACGATTATAGGTAATTGTACAATAATGGTGAAAAACGGAGAATTTTATAAGTGACTTTGTGATTTTCCCAAATGTAAAAATTTTGATTTAACGTTTTCTCCTAATAATTAACATCTAGGTAATATTTTACTTTATTTTTTTGTTCGTAATCCATTTTAACAGCTTAAGGTCTGAGTTGTATTAAACAGAACAGGCTCACCACGGCCAAGTGCAGGTTGTCACCGCCCAGTTCCACCTTAATCTTCTTCAGGTTGCCCACCATGCCGATGCACGGTCCACACCATTCCGTGTACACGTCCACTACTTTGTGTTGACAGAACGAGACGGATATATTATTATCAGAACATTGTCGACCAATAAAAACTGGCTACTATTTAGCATTCTCTCCATTATAACCTATCCTGGAGTTTAAGGAATATCATGTGTAGCAAATCGCACAAGTCCCGCAGGTATAGTTCCGGACTTGTGCGATTTGCTTTCTTTGAAATGCGTTATGATAAAGCACAAAGAAAGAACAAGGACCGATAAAATCATTATACGATTTCGTTGTCGAACAAGGCATTCTTTTTACAGTTTTTTGATACAGAAAAAAAAATATCTGATAACATAATTGAAACAAAACTGAAGACAAATATTAGTATGAATATTAAAAAATATGCCAGCAAGTAGACAATAAATAATACTTTCTTCTGCGAAATTTTATTAATGTTGAAAAGTGGATTAACAAAAAATGAGAAATTAAAGTTCAGAATGAAAAATAGTTGATCTGTTTCAGTTGGGCAGAGCGGGAAATAGGAAAAGAAAAAGATACGTAGGTATATGATAAGATTGAAAATTTCAAAGGAAGAGCCTGATGAGTAGTGAGTTATTATCCCAACTGCAATTGTAAAACACGAAATTCTAACATTTAATTACGTTACTTCCTCATTTTGTGTGCTTTTTACATAATTGCAGAATGCTTTCAAATATATTGTTTCACATTATACTTGCCAAGTAATCCATCTCTTAGCAAGAACTTCTTCCAATCGTCGTCAGTGTTCAGCTCGGCCTGCAACTGAACTTGGGCCGCCTTCTTGCCTGCGCCAGCGGCGGCGGCGGCAGCGGCGGCATTAGCGACAGCACTCGTCAGCGCCATTGCAGCGTGACAAGTGGCGTGACAAGGTCAAGTGGTACGTGACAAGTGTCGAATGGCAAGCGATAAGTATCGAGGGTCGAGGCGCGATTGTTGGCGACCGCATTCGTCAGCGCCATGCCACCGAGTGCCAATAGGCAAGTGAGTGTGTGGCGTAGACATGCATGCGTTTAGAAGCGTCGGGGTGTTGGAATTTAGAAAATTGAGTTTAAAAACTAATAAATTAATACGTATTAAAAAAGTGAGTTTCAGTGAGGCTAATGTAGACTTGTTTTTAGTGCCTATATACTTATAACATACTTTAGGAACACTAGCCATTGAATCAATTAGCCTGTAAGTAGATCATAATGTTACTTTATATATTAAAGAAAATTTACAGATATGTTCTAGAATACTAATAAAATGACGAAGATAATTAAAATTTCCACAGAAAATGAGTTATAAGTAAATAGGCTAGATAACTACATGCAATAATTGATAATTATGGTGGTAAAAATAGCATTGGATGTTACAAAAGTGAAATGGTTTCTTTATTTTATGGTAATAGCAAAAGCTCCCGTTATTGTAAATCAGAGAAGGTTTAAAATATCAAAAAAAGTATTTTTCGGTATATATTAGTAAAAATATTATTCGGCTGTTGGGTGGATTGCTTGAAAATACGCACTGTAGTAGCGAAACTCACTGTTGGAGCAGATAGCGAAAGGTCATGGGTTCGTGTCCCATGTCAGGGTGCCAGGGACGAAGTGGATCTTTTAAGTATTTGTCATGAAGAATAAATAATAATATGTAAAAATAAATTTCAAATATGGAGAAGTTTTCCGTATGCTAAAGTCTATGCCAACGTTGGCACAATGTTCGCATGTTCAGTTCAGGAAAATATCACAAATAAAAGGTTTTATCGCTGAAATACTGATTCCAATCTGGTGGTTTATGATCATAGGATAAGCTTGTGACTATTTGTAATAAATGCTCATAGAAATGTATGCGTCCGTACATAACTTGTAACAAAACCAAATTATTTCAGTGATCAGTTAATAATGTTAAAATAATTGTGTGGACATGTCTTAATCATCACCAGCCACTTAATTTCCCCCCATCAGGGGGTCAGGTCTTCTCTATGGATGGAATCGAACAGGAAGAATGAGCCATGACAATGCGGATTGGTACAGAATGTTCAATAGGTTTTCATATTTTTATGTAAGAATGATCACCTACTTCTTTCTTGAATTGTGAACCAATTTTTATCATAAAAGCCGTAATTATAGCCTATGTTCCCTGCGTCTGTTTCAGCTACCCGTAGGTGATTTTTTTTTAAATCGGTCGAGTACTTGCAGAGCCTATTCAATGCAGACTTCAATCTTGCCTCCTTATAATATTAGCAAAATTGTAAATGTATGTCGACAAAATAAACAAACCTTCTTCCTAAGATTTTCACTATGTTGATATATTTTTTATGTAGATTTTAATATTTTTAGTGTTACCTTTTTAATAATTAAATAATTTTCTTTTTTCAAAACATAGAATCGACTTCAATCTTTAAAAGTGAATGAAAAATTGTAGGTTTTCATTATGTTAATAAATGATAACTGCTGGACTTCAAAGGCAGTTTCTTAAATAAATAAGTTGCTTTTAAGATAATTATTATTTATAATTTTTCTCACATTGAATTCGTTTCTATTTTTGAAAAAAAAAATGCAAATTATTGTATTTGTTCAATTTTGCATTCATAATGCTATACTAAACAATATTCATAATATAATATGATTAAAAAATTATCTAATTTAGAATCAGTTAGCCTGCAACATGAAAAGCAAAGCTACGTTTTCACTTGAGAAATTCACTTTACATTTTCATAATATTAAAGCTTTCGCTGTTACTATCAAAAAGTAAAGCTGTGGTAGAGTGTGCGAAGCCTTCGATATCCCTTCTGAATATTGTTTCGTATATTCAACAATTTATTTCGATATAAATGCGGTAGAGGGCGAACTCTAGCGAGAGAAGCTTCAGCAACTGAAAAAAGCTAAATACAACTGCGTGGCTGAATAATTGCGCTACTCGTCGCTAGATGACAGTATAATGTTTTTGTAGTGAACAGGCAGATGCTGTTACTGTTTGTAAAATCAGTCAACCTCTTGTCAAAATATATATAGATGGAGAAATATTTTCATGATCAATAATATTTCATTAAATTTTTAGGTTTTAGACTTTTTAAGAACTCGTGAAATATAAGGTTCATGGGGGCAATCCGGTTTTTAGCTATTTTCATGATATGAAGATTTAAGTTGAAATTGTTGGTAAAAATATACCTTCGATATATCTGGCGCTAATATACCGAATACACTGTGTATGACACTACCGCTAATATGACAGCGCTAATCATATTTCATGCACTATGTTGAAGAGATGCTTTTTGTTTGTCCCAATATCAATAAAACTTTCTCTACCAGTATCATGTAAAAGTCTATGTCGATATTATTTTTTACCAAGCATTTACATACGTAATAGAATAATAACTACCTATATATTTTTTTTAATGTAAATATACTTTTATTACACGCCTAACAAATTAAAGCAAACTTTTCTTTACTTAACGTTATGAAATCAACTAATTTGCGGCATTTGTAAAGACCACGAATTTTTCATGTTTTAGTTACTTATTTAATATTAAATAAATGTTTGTTAATTAAAAAACGAAACAACAAAACCAGTCATACAAAAATTACTATTAAATACAAACCATTATTAAAAACATTTTTATATAAAATCTATTTACATCATTCATAGTGTTGTAGTCTGATTTTTTGTCTATCTAATTTGTGTTCACTGTAGATCCTATGCAGTGTAGGCAACACTGACATTATTAAATTACTAGTTTTCGTGAGGGAAATGTTAAGTGGGATAAAAAGTATCCTATTATCTTAGTCAGCGAATACCCTATCTGTATACCAAATTTTATCAAAATTCGTTCAGTAGTTTCGGCGTGATTGACGGAGAAACATCCAAACAAAGGAAACAATTATAAACACTCGCTACACGGCCGAAAAAACTGAGTGTAGCCGCCGGTATTTTGTAAAGATATTTATCGCTTTTATTGAAATAATACAATAAAGTGCTTGAAAATTATAAAATATTTGTAACTTATGAATTAATCATTATTTGGGTACAAATTTTCTCCAATAAAATTAGATAAGAGAAATTCAAAGTTGACTTAAAGCTACTTTCGATGTTTTTATGTTCATAATAACATCGTGTTCCTTTAATCAATGGTATTTTTAAAACTGTAGATGCTACCAACTGTATAATTATAAAAAGGTTAACATTTTTTTAAATTTCATTTTTTTTGTAAACTAGTAGCTCAACCCAGAAGCTTAAAATGCCATCGCATTTTGTATGAAAATCTTTCTTTGCAATTTGGGTTTAATTAAAGAGTTAATCACAATTTAAAAAAAAATCGTAGCCGCTACGGGCTATACCAATAGTTATTTTACACTATTCGTCAAAATTAGTAATATATTTTCTAATAAAATTACCATTTTACGTAAAAGGTATGTAGGCTAACTTAATATCGTGGGCATTTTCTACCAGTCAACCGTGTGGACGCAAAAGTTGATAGATTGCACAATTAAGGAGGAGATAATATCAATGTAAATAAAAAAAACCTTTAAATATATAACATACGAGTACATAATAATACACATACCCAAACGTAAACAATACATACAATATACATATGTTCATAAATAGATTTAACGAATATTGTTTGCTTGAACAGAAAGCTAGGCAGCTTGTATCTGTGGTAAATTAGTACTGAAAATGAGACGTGAGATATGAAGGAGCATTTAAAGAGTTCAGTAAAGATAACAAACAGTTAAACCTTAGACCTTCGCTGCCGAATGGTGCATTCAATTTAAATGAGGTCACTATAAAATACTCGATTCAGTTTTTTCAAAATCCAGCTTTAAATTATAATAAAAGCTGGATATCACGTGTGTCGGGGATCGATTCAATTCAATTAACAGTCACCTGTACCCGTCGATCGATCATCTCACACTCGACTGTTCACTTGTTAAATTGAACTCAAGTGTTATATGCTCTCGGAGCAGCCAATCAGCGGCGATCGGGGTCCCAACTACCCGCCCCGTAATTGGGTGTAAATGACTCGACGAACGCAAACCGCCACAACATTAATTCTCAGCCAGTTTCATGTCGAGCTTGGAGATTACAGTTTTACAAACGACACACGTCACCTACTGTGGAGGAACTGTCTACTTATGAAACGAATTATTGAAGTCCTATTCTATTTTTCCGAAAACGAAAATAGGTCTATTGTAGATTTACTAATACGACTCCAAAGAAACGCATTTTTTGGTAATTTATCATGCAACGGAGGTAGAAAACCGTCTCTAATGCATAGATTATCTTCTCGGATGTGATTTTGACAAAATTATGAGAACGATCCTTATAATTTTGTTACAGATTGCAGATTATCTTGTCATGTTAATTCGCATTTCCTTTGTCACTTATACACTGCTAGTTGCGTAGGTACTACTTTTTGCCAGTTACAATATTTTCCAGCATAGCATTGTGAAAGCAAAATTTATAAAATATAATAATTAGAGCAAAGTTTAAATATTTGTAAAAATATTTCTTTCGACTGTTTGTATGGATTGCCTGAATATTGCTGAAACTACGCTCTGTAGTAGTGAAAAAGTAACAAGTGCTTGAAAAATTCTTCAGTCCTGTTAGGTCCTGGGTATATCAGTGATTAGAGTAGTCGCCCGCATTGCGAAAGGTCACGGATTCGAGTCCCATCTCAGATAGCCAGGGACAAAGTGGGTTTAATAAATATTTTTCATTAAGAATATTTTACAGCCCTTGTGTTCGAAATAAACGGGCATTAGTCGAGGGTTTGTGCCTTGATGTTCATGTTTGACTCATACGTGACCGATATTTTGTAAACACATTTGCCACGTGCCACCCTCGCATGCGACCTACTCACAGTG